ATCCACCCTTAATGAAGCCTAGAATAAATTAAAGTTGACCCAGATTATATATTACATATTTTACTGTCAAGGTGACTGATGTGCGTGCATTATATAATAATATAACCGGAAGTTATTTTTATATCTAAAGGATAATGTCATTGATTATAATCAATTATTTATAAGCGTAAGTACATTAAGATAAGACCTAAAAATTGTATATAAATATTTTTAATATTAGCAGATTGTGTATAGGTACTTCTAGAAGAAAATAAATATAGTAATTGTTTTTCTATTCGATTTACATTTCAAAGAATAAATAAGTTTTTATATAAAACGTATAACATTAACAATAATTATTTAAATCAAATAAAGCATTTTAACAGTTTTTCAAAAGAGAGAGTTCGAATGTTTTAGAATTCTTTGTCACTAACAAATCAAAACGAATGTCCTATCAATTTAACAGCAAGTACTAAATCAAATTGATTCGTAAGAGGTAATATAAGGCCACATACTTGTTGTTAAGCGACCGATGACGAAATGACAATTTGTTCAATGTAAGCGCACTCTTACGTCGAATGCTTCATTCACTAAAATTGTTTCTAAGAAGGAGACATGCGATGTAGAGACTGATTGTAAAATTACTATAGAAAATATCATTATATTTACGATATGGTGACGTTTCGATTTGTCAATAGTAAATTTTAAAATTAAGTGACCATTTTAACATTACAAAGTAGTTCGACTCGACGTTTCTTTTTCGTTTGCATCTTTACAAAACGTAAATACTAATTCGTACTTGGCTTATATTTACATAATCCACGTCACAAGCGTGTTTATTTTAAAACTGCAGTAGGTCAATGATATAGTTCTTGTATAGATAGAGTGTGTATTAGGCATTATATTTATATCGGTACGACTTACTTAGATTTTCATTATTTTTATATAAAAAAGAATTTAAAGCCCTTTGACTATTCATTTAGGGCTTTAGTCTATTTTATAAGTCCAACACGGTATATTTATTTCTTTAAATCTTCCCAAATCATGTAAGATGAGGCGTATCATAAAACATATAGCCCGATCGAATCTGTCACTCGTATGATTACTCGTGTACATTTTACAAAATTAACATTATATTCATTAATTATAATAAAATTATAATTTTTGTTATAAGAACGTGGAGTTTTAAAATAAATATAATAATGTGCGGGTGTGTCAGGTCATAATCTTATAACATAAGGTTATCAGTTCTATTCCAGTTTATCATATTTTAAAAAGTTCGTTTATCTCATTGGGAAACATTTTATTCCTCATGATGAAAGCAATCGATCAATAATATTTTTATCAGTCAAATGAGTACCTATTGATTGATTTTATCTAGAGGAGATAATAACGGAGCTACTGTAATAAAAAGTTATAAAACCTTCATAAGGTTGTTTTGGTACTGAATTAAATTCTGTTTTATTTTTATCAACTATAATAATACTGGATAATGACCAATTTCGAACCCCAATTCTGAAAAACCAAAGTGGAGGGCAGAGAGAAGTGTCTTTGCATAATCTTCTTTTTATCTTGTAAGGGAAAGAAATATTTATTTACAATCCATTTAAATTAAATACTTTGACTCTAAATACGTAATAAAACATTTCCAACACGACACGTGAGAGGTTATCCAATATCAGCTTTCCTCGCAATACGAGTGATTGTGACGTTCATTTTAATATCACACTGCTTATTCTCATTCATGTCAAATACAATAAATACTCGTAGTCTAAGAAACGCTAAATTAACTTTATATAATGAGACATGAGTAGTTGTTGCCTACGGAGCACGTGTTTTGTGCACTATTTATTTTCAATGTTTCATATATAATTTATAATTTGCTATTGATTTATAGCAAAATTCTACATTTAACAATTTTAATACATTTATGTTTATCCTTTCCATGACCAGTTCCTGATCTTCAGTTTAAAAACAATTTAAGTACTAATAATAATACTCTCTATAATGGAATCTAAAGTACAAACATAAAAAGAAAATTTATAATTTTTTTTTGCTAGGAACCATTGCGGACGTTCACAAAAAAATTACTAAAGTACCATCATAATCGGATGAATAGTTTAGAAACACGCAAGAAGGCCAAGAGAAACAAGAAAACATGAATTTTTATTTGCATATATAGGTACATACATGGATGTGTTTTTCGCTTTAACTCTTTTAGTGATTAGAGTGAATAATAATATTAAGCGTGTAATCTCTGAAGATTACAAACCTGTAGACAACAATATTTTATATGTCGCTATTTTTAGATTTGATATACTTTTTGATACGTTATAGTACTTATATATCACAGTAACCTAATCATATGACATTCGATAGCTCCAACCTAAAGACGCGATAAAAAATAAAAGTACCTACGTGTAAATAAGATAAAACTTATGTATATTATATTTATCTATAGATAGAGTCGATACAATCACTAATTTCATAGTTCATACTTTGGAATTATTTCATAACACATTGATAAATATTAAATAATAATAATATTCATCATTACGAGTACAAATTAGTAAACTAGCTGACCCGACGTTGGGAGTTGATTTTTTATTTATATCTATCTATATAAATAAAAATGAATCACGGAAATGTATATATGCGCATAATTTCCGATCGACTGCACCAAATTGATTTTTTTTGTGTTTTTTATTTATTAAAAGTAAATTTTTTTTTTACTAAAATAAGATTTTTTAAATCTCATGATACGAAAATTGAGTGAGTGAAATAGGTTTCATCCCGGAAATCATCCCTTAAGAATGGGGATGAAAGTTTGTATAGGGTAGCAAACTAGGGACGAAGCAGAGCCAAGCGAGGGCACGGTAATGTATGCATAATATTACCGTGGCGAGGGTGAGTCGCTAATAAATAATAAGTGTACAGATATTAAAAATAGCCATTGACACACTTTATAGTATGATATTATAATTATACTAGCAGTACCCGCGACTTCGCCCATGCTCAAACTACTAAAACAACAAACTCTTTGACAGTAGTGCCACCTACCGGGTCCAACCATCCAGGAGTCCATTGAAATATACACACAAAATTTCATCCAAATCGGTCCCTTTCGGAGGAAATTGACAAACACACGTACAGAAGAATTATTATATATGTATATTAAGATAACTAGCGACTCACCCTCACTTCGTTCGGGTTCGTCCCTAGGTATATATTTTTATTATTATTAAAATAAAATCTTCCATCCTTATACTCCTGCCTATCTCAAAGAACGTTTTTCATTCCTAGGTGATAGTTCCCAGCACGCTCAACAACTTCGCTCCCGCAATGAAAGGTTACTCGAAATCCCACTAAGCCATTCCAAATCTTATGGTGAGTCTTTCACCATTAAAACTGTAAGACTTTGGATAAGAGATCACTTTCACTTTTAGTGATAAGGCCGCCTTTGCACATCTCTTAAATTGTATAATTAATTATTTATATTAATGTACTACTTTCTTGTGCAATAAAGTATTATAAATAAAAAAAATAATTGAATTGTAATTGTTATATCAAATTGTATTGTATTGTATCATTTTAATTTTTAACTCCCTCAATAATTGAATAATTTTTTTACACCTATGTATGTCACTCTCCAGCCCTACAACTATCTCCACACAAAAAATCATGCCAATTAGTTACTCTGTTTCGAAGTAGGTAACAACAACCGGAACAAACAGACAGACAGATAGAGAAAATCTTTTAAAATTGTATTTTTTCTTATAAGTACCTACCGTATATATGTAATTTCATATGCATTTAGTAAAACGCTGTTATTTTGACATTATAAACGGACACCTCAATTATATTTATGTGTATAAATTATTAATTAAATAAACGAAAACTTAAGTAGTAAATTAAAATAACAATCTGGAGGAATTTAAGTAATGAAGAACAGAAAACAAAATGTCAAAAGGTTTTATTCTTGTCCCTGTTTTCTTTGTCATACCTCTATAGGTAGCCCTTTGAAGCGCTCTCGTTTGAAAGAAATAGGTCGTTCTATTGTATATTAGCACATGGTCTGTCGCGATCGCCGTACGGCACCATATTAGTAGTAGTGTCTATCATGTTAACCTACTTTCCAATAGACGCCGATAAGAGCACCAACGAATCAAATTGAATGTCACTATTATGCTCAGAACATACTAGAGAATGGGCTGAACAATACTATCATGCAATTGACCACTCTGTAGAAAGAAAGAAATCGAACATGCGACCAGGACATTTTTGTATCTTCATTAATCGTATTATAATTACGACTAATACAGAAGACTTCTGGTCGCACGTTTTATCTCTGTCGCTTTGTCGCCATTTTTAGCTATCGGCTGAAAAAGAAATACTCAGTCCACTCTCTATGTACTCGTATGTACATTCTTCGTTCGCGCCATTTATGTCTAGATATCTATCAATTTTGTTTTTCAATGAATTGATTGATCATATAGGCTTCTTATACTACCTTAAACTGTTTTAGCGCATGCCATGTTCATATAATGTTAAGTATCAAAAACTACTTTTCTTGAGCGTCGAAGTATCAGGAGCTTCCGCGAACCCATTTCTGCGAAATATCACGTTGAACTTGATACGTTGCTCTTGCTCTTGCGCATAAATGCGTGTTTAAATAGAAAATGCCTGTTTTTTAGATACATGACAAGGTACTTGAGTGAAAGAAGCACATACCATCAATCATACGTATGAATTATAATGTTAGCTTGATTGTGCTTGTACTATTAAAAAACCTTAAATTTTATACTCAATTATCTAAATTAATTTATTAGACAAAGTTTCTTTTTACAAGTGTGTAAAATATCAAATAAATAATATTTTTTGTTGAGTAAGGAGTTCAATTTGACTTAAGTAAATATATTAACAAATACATAGTATTTGCAATCAAACATTACCCATATCACTCTACAAAATACAAAATATTAATGAACGACCTTTGTGATAATAAGTATTGCTTGTTCCAGCCGACGGCATGACCTATTCGTTCGGCGTATTTTACGCAGAGTTCCTGACCTATTTCAACGAGGGCAAAGGCAAGACTGCGTGGATCGTATCTATTCTTGTTGGAGTCACATTAAGCTCAGGTATCTATATTATAATTCGATTGAAAGAAGCTTTTAACTTAAGGCTATAATTTCGAGCTTTTAAATCCCTTTACAGAGAAGTTTTTTTTTGGTAAATTCCCCTTTGTCTACTTTATTTGTTCTATATTCACAAAGGCAGCTTGATTCTTATATTTATGTAATAAAATGATGTGAATAAAGGCAGGGGGTTTTGTTGAATTTGTTTTATTTATTGCACAATAGAGTTCTCGAGGCTCTTATTACTACTATTTACAAAATAAACTCGTTTCTTTAAAAGCTTTAGATAAAATATGAGAACGTTGCTTATAATCCCAGTAGAGAACTCGTGAAAAGTTATAACAGTTCCGAAGTACAATCGAGTTTGCCATTAACACTTGTCATCTGAAATATCAAAGTGGTGTTTTCACACAATTTTCTTCGTTTATATATTCATATTCACATTTATTATTAGCATTTACCAGCATCTGCATGGGTATAGGAGTTTCTTAATTAAATTTTATTCCACACCTCCGTTGGATTCGTTTCATTTTGTGAGATTAAAATCAAATTAGCATTTCCAAAGATGACTTTCTTAGAAATAACTTGCAGACCTACTTTATGACTAAATATTAAAATATTATTATAGAAATATGTATAAATAAACTCCGATAACATAATTTACTATTTAACTTAGGTACAAAAACTTCTTACAGGTCCAATATCAAGCTCGTTTGTAAATCGTTTTGGGTGTCGGGCAGTTACTGTTGCGGGCGCGCTACTGTCCGCCACGTGCGTAATTATCTCAGCCTATGCAAACAACGTGACAACGCTCATCTTCACAATTGGTATCGGCGCTGGCATGGGTTTCGGCCTTATCTATCTTCCCGCAATCGTGAGCGTAACTGTTTGGTTTGAGCGTTATCGAAGTCTTGCTACAGGTTTGTATCACTTGTCGATAAAACGTGATATATTATACAACATGAAATATTCAATTTGAAGCACGTGTTAATGTTTGAAACTTTGGCTTCATTAGGTATTGCGGTATGCGGATCCGGTCTTGGTACATTCCTGTTTGCTCCTATCACATCAGCTCTAATTACAAATTATGGATGGCGAGGGGCGATGGCTCTTATAGGAGCTTTTATTCTCAACTGTATTCCACTAGGACTTATGTTCAGACCAGTTCCTGAACGTCCTAGGACACCAATCACTGAGCCAATGTTGCCTAAAAAAAAGAAATCTCCACTTAAAAAGGCTCAAAGTACGGAACAGGTTGCAAAAGCGAATGGCGATGATGTAGCAAGACTAACATTATCTCAGCCTGCCTTAAACAAACCACAGGAACAAAAATCATACTCACGGCACGGCAGTGGTATTATGCAAAGGCCTGATGTCTTGTACCAAGGGAGTATGACTAGCTTAACAAAGTATAGAGCAGCGTCTCCTGACAGAATACAAATTTCTATAAAAAAAGAAGAACGGAAACAAAAATGTGGCTGGTTACCATGTTCAGAAGAGTCGAAAGCAGCTTTATCAGAAATGCTTGATATTTCTCTTCTAGTCGATCCTGTATTTATTCTATTTTCACTATCAAACTTTTTAACTAGTATAGGCTTTTATATACCGTATGTCTATACAGTACCTATGAGCGAAAAACTTGGCATTGAGAACCCACCATATTTAATATCTATTATTGGGGCATCCAATCTGGTCGGAAGGATAATCCTGGGATACATTAGCGATAAGCCCTGGGTCAACCGCTTATTAGCATATAATATATGCTTGACTATCGCGGGAATTAGTGAGTATAATTTTGATTGAAGATTTTGCTAACCACACTATTATTATAAACTCGAAAGTTTATGTGTGCGTGTCTGTATGTTTGTTACTCCTTCACAATGAAACGGCTGGACAGATTTGGGTGAAATTTTATACACAGATATATTACCTTAAGGAACATTGTATAAACTATTATTAGTAGTAAAATTATTATTAGTATCTCCAAATGTAATATATTAATATATATAAATAAAAGTCTATGTTTTATATGAACTTACAAAAGCCACCTAGAGACACATCCGAGTGAAGCGAGGGTACGTTGCTAATATACCTAATCAGTCTCTGATCTGTTGGTCTCTATAATAGTTATAGACCAAAATGACCAACAAATAAGACATGCAGTAACACAAAAGTTTGGCTCTCAGGGACGAACCCAAGCGGAACGAAGATAAGTCGCTAGATAATAAAGAATATAACGTAATAAGTTTTATTTTTCTGTAGGTACGGCCATGGCAATGGTTTGCTGGGAATTTTGGGGGCTCGCTATGTACGCAACAGCATTTGGCTTCACTATTGGTGCTTACGTCGGTTTAACTTCAGTGGTGCTAGTTGATCTTCTTGGTATCGAAAAATTAACCAATGCATTTGGTTTGCTTTTATTATTTCAAGGAATCGCATCTCTTATTGGACCACCGTTTGCAGGTATGATTCATATTTGTGTTACGAAATCTCAATCACGCTACAAACCTTAGATAGTAAACTCACATGATGAAAACATGTGAACTAATAATACATAATATTCGTTATATTATATTTGTCATGTGACATGATAAAAATATTACAAAGAATGAAATGACAAAATATTTGTAGAAACATTATCATTATTTTTATATTATAAATAGCATATTTACATATTGATAATTAATTGTTTAATTATGATTTAATTGAGATATAGATTATTGTTTGTTTCGCGCATTAGCTTTTAACAAAAAATGTATACTGAATTCAGAAATTATTTAGACTTTAGTTCGTACCTATGGTAAGAGTTCAAGTAAGGGATAGGGTAGGATGGTCCTATTTAATTTTTTCTTGAAATTGGAATTGGACTTACCCTTCAAGCATAACTTATTGATAAAACAAAATAATCACGAAAATTGTTTTATCTCTGTTTTAAAGTTGGTCTTTTATTTTTAGGCTGGTTGTATGACACATTACAATCGTACGCGCCAGGATTCTACGTAGCGGGTGGTACCATCTCATTGAGTGGTCTTATCCTCTTTTTCATTCCTATGTTAGAGAAAAGGAATGCCAACCGGGATACGATGCTAGAACAGATTTAGCAGGAGCCGCCCAGGGGGGCGCGCGACTACCCGGTGATCGTGCTCAACAGCCCCTCCACCCCCTCCTCCACAGACTCCACGGAGGACACCTACAGCAACAGGGTATATACGACTACTATCATAGAGGAATACGTTACTGATAGTTACAATGATAATAAAGAATATAACAATGTAAATATTGATAGAATAGACCACTATAGGCGTTAATAACGAAATTCAAGCTCATTCCAAAGATGTGAAAAGTGCGTGTGATAATTGAATAAGTGCGACGAATAAAGGACGTAACGTCAGACAGTAACTTGAGGTGTTAATATATGTATATAAATCCAAAGAACTTCAACAAATTAATACACTAAAAGTGCTATATTTAGTTATTTAATGACAGAAATAAATAAATATTCTCTGTTTATAAGATGAATAATTTACATTATATTGTATTTCTAAGAAAGCTTTATTGATTTAATCGTAACAATAATAGTAGTAAATAGACAAATTGCGTTTGTTTTTATTCACAAAAAGATGTCTTCTAAATATGTAATTATTAAACATATTTGTAGATATATTAGTCGAGTATTATACTCTATGTTCGTAGAGTACTATACTCTATGTTCCTTGTAATATATTAGGGTTTCACTTTCATATTGCAAAAAAATATAATCTTTGTAAAATATATGTATAAAGGTGTTTTACATTTGTATATACGAAAATAATTGATTGTAAATATACTCGTACGCATTAAAGGCCTTATTGTGGACCAAACGGTTGGTATAGTAACAAGTTCCAAATCTTACCGTAAATACCCACCACTTAAGTTTATGTTAAATTTTATACTAAGTATCATTGTTTTCTACTATTTCTGAATAATTTGTATCAATTTCTTCCTATAGCTATAGCGGGGTGATGTATCCTATCATCTACTATTGTATATACCGCATTAGACTGACGTACTAATTCAGTACAATGTTTTTTACAGGTCAACGCCATTATTCGTACCAATTTATAAATTGTGTAATTATGTTGATATTGCAAAAAAATTAATGTTAATAACTTTAAATATTAAAGTTAACATATAAATTGGATTTTTTCATTCGACCTTTACCTTCTATTTCATAAATAACAGTATGTCATACGGTACACGTGTAACTGACAGCAACAACTTCATCTTATGAAGCGTTTACTCCGCGTCGTATACATAATTCAATAATTTATACAATTTCCTAATGGAGGTGGTAAGTGGTAAATCGATCAAAGATAATTTAACCTTTTGTTTACTTTATATAGCGTAGTTCATAAATACAGTGTAGTTTTACCTGCGGGACAGAGATGGAGATTGAAATATCATGAATAAATATATGTACGATTATACAGTTTACCTATATATAACTTCCTAGATAAACATTATTGAAGTGAAATTTCTTTAGGCGCGCCATGTAAGGGGGAAATAAAGGATTGGCGTTACGATTTTTGTAACAGAAACGGTTACGCTGGGCCGTGACGTTACGGAAGTGAATAAATAGTAAATTAAAAAAAAACTATTTATGATTATTTCAAAGAATAAATTTAATAGAAATAGATATTTATAAAAAATACTTCTCTCATTTATTTAAAAATAAGCGATGGAATCATATCAAATAAATAGAATATTGTTAAAAAATCATTTGCTTCTAATAATTTCTTATGCAATATAAATATGATTTTTTTTTCACTAAAAATTTGCATACCTGCATTATTATTTATTTTATTGGAGTATATAAATTATTAAAGGATATTCCCAAGGAGGGTTGACGTCAGGCAGGCGGCCGGTCGTAAAACTTTTGCCAAATCCTATCAGCAGTACAGAAGATGTACTGCGCCGACCCCAAGTGATTGGGAAATGGGCAGGGAGAAGAAGATATAATTTTATTAAATCATTACAACATTTGATTGAAAATTAAATTTTATCTTAACATCATCTGTACTACGTATATGAATAATAAAATATTCTTTTCCTTCGTAAAATGATAAAAATTTCATTTTTTAATATCTCTCCTATCCTAATTATTTAAAACATAAATTGGATATCATAAAAAGTACCGATAACCTACAGAAGTATCACTTCTTGCGCGCATACATTTATACACACACTCTTTTTTTATTATTTCTTTATCTCCTCTCACCTCTCTCTACCGTACATATTGACTGATGATAAGTCTATTGTGGGGACGCGAAATAGTATATTTTAACAATTATATTATTAGTATCGACTACACGTTAAAACGGCTGGATTTAGTACACAGACAGATTACCTGGAGTTCCACATAGACTATCTCTATTAATATACTAGAGCCTGAACGAAGGAGAATCGTTTTTAATACTTTAATTAACATATAGCTTTGTTCACAAAATATAATATAACTGCAAAATATATTATTTATTAATTAATTCATATAATATTACACATTTTAACTAATTACATGCCATATAATATAACATTTAAGCTTCACCGACTTCAAAAGTTTGCTCGCAACATCGCTAACTTTAACTTTAGCTCCAATTACTTAAGCTACATGTAATAACCTAAATTAAACTGTGAAATTATTTTAGTAATGAAATAACATGGTTTTTATTTTTCAAACTAGAGAGTTTTCAATCTAGAAAAGCACAAACAGATCTATCCCACGGGAACCTTTTATTTTTCCGGGATAAAAAGTAACCTGTTGTTTGACCGGTAATATAAAGTATCATTCATGCCAAATTTTACTAAATTAGGTGCATAAGCTGTTGTGTACTAAGCTGTATAAGTTACTACAGTTTTTTAACTATCCCACGGCACTCTTTAATTTTCCGGGATGAAAAGTATCTAAGATGTTGACCGGGAATGTAAGGTATCACCATGCAAAATTTCATTTAAATCGGTCCAATTGATTCTATTCGGAGATTAGCCCGTACAAACAGACAAACAGAAGAGAGAAACAAAAAAATCGAAAAAATCTGGATTTGTTCTATTTCTCTTCTTACACCCCCCCTGACTCGGTTTTTAGCATTTTTTTTCTGTGTACAGACATTCGACCTCTACAGTTTTATAGTTTTATAGTATAGATTATAAATAATTAAATAAAAAGCTAATTCTCATCATATTTATGATGCACTATTTTATGAATTATTTTATTTATTATTTTAAAAGATTAACATACAACTTATGCTTTAAAGTAAAATAACATAGATATATATGATATATAAACATAATAAGTTCTTTTTGGTGCAATACATTTAATAAAAACATTATTACATGATTTAATTATTCAATGGTTTACACTTTACTTATATTTTATAATATGTATATACAAGTTCAAGTCTGTACATTAAATAAAACAAACAGTTCCTTTTTTTCCTCTGTTTGTCACTCGATCTCCTTTCTTTTTTTTTGTTTAGTAGCTATTGACGAGTTTAATGCTATGAATAAAAAATGATTATGTTTGAATTTCTACAATTCGGCGAACACCAGATGTTATTAATGACTCCCTAATCTATCTATATATATAAAAATCAATTGCTGTTCGTAGTCTCGCTAAAACTCAAAAACGGCTGAACCGATTTGATTAATTCTTTTTTTGTTGGAGGAATATCAGGGATGGTTTAAATATAAAAAAAAATAAAAAACCCATAGGAACAGCTGGAAAATCGAAAAGTTCAGAACTGGTTATTTTGTATGGGAATCACTACTTCGGATTACTTTCAACAGTGGTGGACCTACCACCTACAACAATACATCAAGTTTAAGTTAGAAATATATAACAGTATATAGTCTATCTATTCTATACTAACCGTTAAAACGTACCTAGGGACGAACCCGAGTGAAGCGAGGGTGAGTCGCTAGTTTACAATAACTAAATATTGCGTACGTTTGTAACGATTTCCATGGTATTTATACACATCGTGTTCAAAACCTAATTATATAAACATTCATTATAATAATAATTAATATGATATACGACAGTGACACATTTAATAATTAAATATTGATAATAGTAATTTACACACAAAAATATTATGCTTTTCTTAAGTATATATAGAATATGCAGGAATAAATATTTGTATCGAGTACATGAGTTATATTTATTCATTCTTCTTATCTTCGTCTATTTTGCCATCGCCTTTGCAAATATTAATCATCTTCTGATGGGCTCTTTCGTCGATTAGAAACATTGCTATAGTAGTTATCGCAGGAGAAATCTAAAATATTATGTTAAGAGTTTATACGCCTTGTTTCTTTTTTTAAATAAATCTACTCTAACGGTCCCCTCTAGATTGCCCTGTATTTAGGTCCATGATACATAAACATGTAAAGAATATAATGAGTATATGAACCGACCGACACGTATACATTGCCAAAAGCAGAATTGGAATCAACAATTTTAAAATGTGTCTCTATGCTAGTATATATATGTTTTGACCAAGGTGATCATGGAAATTGAATTTACCCATACGTTTTATCTTTCTGTTACTTATTCTGCTTCTCTTAAATACTTAATTTAACACCATAGAAGTTAGAATAAATAACTTTATTAGGCTTTATATTATAAATAATATAATAATATAATAAATAATCACTAATTTTAAATAATATTTAAATATAAAACTAATACAAGCCAAATACTTCAAACTGTGAACGGAATTCAATAAAACTCATCCCATTTATTATATTCTTATATAAAAAAATACATACAAATATTATGTACCTACTAACACAAAAAAGTAATTTTGTTAAGAAATACAAATGAAAATATTTACAGTTATAAATAATTAATTAAACTAAAGTATTTACGCACCCAATGAATCCAAACAGCCCATTGTATTGAAGTGGAACATGGCTTTACTTGTACATCATTAGCGAACATGTAGGAAAGCACTACCCAACCTCGTATAAGTGAGATCGGTAACCAACAAAGCAAGTTCGCCATAGTAACAATAATTACACTCTGAATTAAAATACACAGTATTATAATATTACTCATGCTAGCTTTTACCCACGGATTCACTCATATTTACGGCTATAAGTAGGTATAGCCTACACCAATAAAACTTGTTAAAATTAACTGTTTAACTAAGTTTAAGATGCGTTTATTATCTCTCCTCTTGGGTGATTTTTTTTATTTACCAGTGAATTTTCAAAATCAAACATTCAAAATCGATTCAATAATTTCAGAGATAAACAGACAGAGGCAAGAAAAATGACTAACTCTACGGTCTGCCCTCGGTTCGGCAGGATTTTCCTTATTTTTATATGTGAAGGTATAAAAAGTAAATGTTAAGTTTGAAAAGTATTATACGAGTATCATTAATCGATATGATGTCAATCTCATTGAGACTAGCCAACTACGCAGGAGATATTATAATGCACAAGTGTACGCGCAGACACAAGTGCACTCTCTGTTCCTGTCACTCTCATACTCTGGTGGGACGACCACTCGACACGAACAGTGGGAGTTAAGGCGCAGGACCGAAGGCTTTACGTGCTCTCCGAGGCACGGGGGTGAAACACCGCCAACTTCCCAACTCCGGGCTGTTACTGAGGCTTTATATATAGAAAGACTCAATAACTAAACTTGGCCCGACCCGGGACTCGAACCCAGGACCTCCGGGTGTGCAGCCGTACATGCTAGCCACTACACCACCGAGGCAGTAAAAAAAATCGATATATAGATTGTACAATAGACCTCCAAGAAAACTAATATGATATAATGAATTAAAGTACTACCAGCAAATTAAATAAGAGATGATGAATACTCACGTTTGTAAATTTGAATTCTCTTATTAAACTTTCAGAATTATCATATTTTGATTCAAGAGTTCTCGCCCAAACCAACATTGTGATCCTTAAATAAAATAAGAATGATTATTATTGTAGTAGAATATGCGGAAAATATTATCTATTCTATTTTTTAACTAAAAAGGTACGCACGCCATCTTCAAAAATATTTTCAATTTTTTTATCAAACTTTTAGAGGAGATTTTATTTCTTGAAATTATTATGAGACCTTACATTCTGTGAGATACATATAATCTATTCATTAATTTAGAAAAGAATTGGCGTATATTCGCTTTAAGGTACGCCTACACAAAAAAATACACCAATCGAGTACGTCTTTATTTTAAACTCGGTTAAAATTCTATAAAAAACTTAAAATTTTGTGTTTCTACTGTATAAAGGAAAATTTAAAAAATAAACCACTGAACTTTAACGTACATGAAACCCGTCGACTTCACGCTTCGTAGTATAAATATGGCTACAACAATAAATCTTTCCCATGTTCCTGGTAGCACCATATCTAAGACACAGGACTGGCATGAAAAGTCCAATGCATATCTACCGATGCCAAGGAGTGGCGGCAGAGAATACAAAGCAGCAAATAAAACACATAGACCTTGATACAAAATATAATGATTTTTTTGTATAGGCCATCCTGAAAAAAAGTTAAAAAATTACTTATAAATGGTTCCAAACGAATTGGAGTTCTACGATTTTTGTTTATTTTATATATTGTATTTACCTCTGGTAATGTATTTAGCCACCACATATCTTTCTATACATACGTGAGTGAGACATTCAACTTCATAAACAGCCAAAAATGAATCCCAGAATCCGAAAAAGTCACAAGTTACTTCTATACCGTGGTCATTACTAAAATTGTAATATAATAAATAATACATTTGAAGTTGTACATTTTTAATTTAGAATTAATGAATTCTATTCTAATTCGTTATCTATGCGGATAATACCTACATACGGTAAATTAAATTAAAGTGTCTGTTTGTATAAATGTCAAAATAACAGCTTCTTACTAAATGCATATTATTAAATTATATGCGGTACTTAAAAGAAAAATACATTTTTTTCTAATGTGTGTCTGTCTGTCTGTTTGTTCCGGCTAATCTCCGAAACGGCTGGACTGATTTTTACGGGACTTTTACTGGCAGATAGCTGATGTTATAAAGATTAAATTAAGCTACTTTTATTTTAGAAAAAGAATTAGCGTCCCACCCAAAAAAAATAAAAATTACCTAGGGACGCACCTAAGCGAAGCGAGAGTAGCTCGCTAGTTTTACATATATATGTGTTAGTCTTTATATGTGCTAGTTACCTTTTCTCGGCCAAACTGCTGAACTAAACTCGATTCGGCAAAAAGAATTCTTGTACTATAGAGATAGACATAGGTCTCTCTTTCTTTCAGCAAAAAAAAATCATTCCCAAGGGATAAACGATAGATGCTACATAAAAGTGCAGTTAATATAGAGAAATTATTTAACAGACATTTACCTATACGAACTGGCACTATTGCTTAATAATAAAAATGCCAGAAAGAGTAAAAGAATACTATGTAAATATAAATTTGTATAAAAAATTGTAAGATATTACGCAAAACTAATCCCAGGAAAAAGTCAAAGCGTTCCGGCGGAAAACTGAGTTTTTCCTTTTGACATTAGACAGCTCATAGCGTTATCTAAAAACAAACGCTATGTAACACATTAATACAAAAATAAGGAGTAGAACAATAAATACTACATCAAATTACTAATTACTCACAACTATCTTTAAAACAATCTAAATAAATATTTAATTTACGTTTAAAGCTATGCGTAGTAGCGGCATATTCAGAAGCCGGTTTTATGGCAAGATGCTAAGCCTTTAATCTACATAATCTTGTTGAGTGATGTTCAATTGTTAACAACACTTATTTACTTGCCTTTAGGCACAACACGTTAATCCATAGGTATGTAATACATTTTTAGGTTATTTATTTATTCGTAACATAATATTGCTTACTCTTTTTTAATATTTATGTGCAACAGAATCAGATTGAATTGAAGATCTTTATAGGCAAAACATTTGCTCCGACTGGTTTCCTACGATACGTTGTGCTATGGCGAATATTAGTTTTGTTTAAAGTACTTTTGAGAATTATAAGTTAAATAATACAAAAACAATAAAAAATGATGTCACCTTGGTAATAAAAAAGATAAGAGCGAGGTATTAAACAGCTTTCAGACTAACAAGTATATTTTGCATTCCAGAATATATTTATAAGTAAACCTACTTTATATCCCCTAGCTATGTCTAAAATGTTGTGTAAAGAGAATTTATAATCTTTACCGCTTTGCAAGATTGTATAAAAGCTCGTTTGTGCTCACCTTCCTGGTTGATTAAAGGGGAGGAGGTGGTAGCAGACTGACGCAGCACGTCTAGCGCAGGCGACGGCCGTAAAAAAGGTTAGATTACGGTAGCTTAAATCTAAACGTAGATTTGTAAACAACAAAGCCACATTCAGCCAAGCGCTCAACAGTGCTGAAATTGCTCCTGCAATAATGTGTAATGATAAATAACGCTGTACAAACAATCCCTTATCTTAGAAAAATATAACTCTTTTCGTTATTTCCGCTTAACAACATCCTTGTATTTTTTATTTATTTTTTTACAAAATAATGATATTACTTATCTTTTATAGTTAATGGAAATTATATTTAAGTAAATATCTAAGCCAATCATTTAAAAAAAATAGTAAGTCATCTGTTATAAAAATGATAATCTATACATATAATAAAATTGTAACTAAGCCGAATCTGTACATTAAATATTTTTTCGAAAATCTTATTAAAATAGACATTATTATCGATGCAGAGGCCGAATCTATAGTTTTTAGAATTTTTGTCTGTCTTTCCGTTCTGTCTGTTACCGCATCACGAAAAAACCACTGGACAGATTTCTGACGAAATTTGGTATGATAATAGCTGGTTATCCGGGTCAACATATAGGATACTTTTTACCGCGGAAAAATATCTCAATTCTGAGAAAAATACGAAAACTGCATTGTAAGAGTATACTAATATGTAAAACCTAAGAATTTGGTTTTTGGTAATCAGAACGCGAGCGGAGTCGCGGGCAATGCTAGTATTTTAATAATATTGTTAGACTTATTAACATACTATTAATTACGAATTAATAACATCACCAAAATACCTGTTACGATAAAGCCTTCTTTCAAATTTGTTCTTGATTGCTCATCAAATATGTCCGCCCAAGCGCAATCTTGTGTGTTCATCCTGCTGTCCATTAGCCCTTTGCTCCGTGCACCGTCGATGAAGTGTCACTACGCATCTAAGACGTCAAATGAATTGTGCAGAATCTAGTATTCTTTATCGGATCTAATTTCTGAGTGTCGGTTTACATGCTAGTATTACAGGTTCTGTTACGCTCTGTTTCTCCGATACATGGTTAGAGCCACGTGAAAACCACACGCCCTTTAAACAAAAGGATAGTTTTGACTCAAAGTCGCTAACTGTTTTTTCTGCAATTTGTATTTATTATTTTTCTATTAAACATATTACTATTAAAAAAATATTATCGTATCATAGACTAATTTAACTTAAAAAATAAATAAATAAAAGAAATTCTTAATATACATATAATTATATTGTACGATGTATGCTTATTACTTCTGGTTTTATTGTTGATAAATTGAATACTGCTTAATCATAAACGATTATTATTAATTGAAAGTAATATTTAGATATTAAAAATCGATGAGATTTTTAATATAATATTTCAGATACTTTTCCGTTTTTTGTGCATTTAATTTGAGATTAATAATTTTAATGGTGATAATTAACTCCATTTTGATAAATTTTAACACAACAACGAAAACACAGTAAAAATATGAATATAATAATTAATTTACTTTGCATACAATGGAGTATCAATCTTATTCAAATAAAGTAGATACCAATTCAAAGAATAAAAGGTCTAAAGATTACTGATAAATAAAAGATTTTCATCATTTAAATAACTTTAATTAACATGGCATACAAAGCGTTTTGCCGTCACAATTCTGGATACGCTTCCGTAAGCGTCGTATGACCATAGTCTATTTCCACCGACATATTGTAATTTCTCGTCTTGGACTAGATGAACCCCTGACCGTCGCCTCATGGCCGGTCTTTTGCATCAGTTTCAAATTTGTTCAGTCATAGTCTTCATTTATTTGGTTTTAATAAAAGCTCCGTCTGTATCGCTTGGCTCGGTCTGGATGTAAGAGGGCGTAGTGTTTTCTCATACGGCCGAGTAATGCAGCTCGAAGTCGTTCATCTCCAGTAAGATAACATAACACGGGGACGCTGGTCGCTGCCTGTGTTTAATTTTCATGTTATCATTTGTTACTAAATTCGCAAAAACATAGACAAAATAGAATTGTATTGTAATAACTTCCTTCAAACGTGAATACTAAACAATATTTAAATTAAACAATTTAAATAATTATTAACTTAACAAGTTCAATAAAAAACTTTTACTTCCATCAATATTGATTTTGAAAGTACAGAGCTGCTACAGTTCTGTACCAACCGTTTTGTCAGAAGGGTCACAATTTCGATTACTACTTGGGACAAATGCTCAGTTAAAACTAAGTTAACTTTAGCTTAAGTTATTATTATTAAACATGTTGCGACATTAACACCCAGCACCATCTAGTTCCATGGTAAGCTACGAGGCTCGTGTTATGTATACCAGATAGTTGATACAATACTTTAGCATAAGTTATCAATCAAAATAACTTTTCAAGATATTCCTACCTCTGCAGCAATAGGCGCGAGAAGAGACAGTACTTGAGGTACATGTGGACGGTAGCCGTAAAGCAGTAAGGGAAGCCACTGCCAGCTAGCCAGCACAGCCGCCGGGGTCCACAACGCGAGTGTCGTTATACAAAGTATATGAATACACTGGTAAAAGATATGAAAATTGCATAAATTTTCGTTGATAGAAGGGTAGTTTTGACATTACATTACGTTTACATTATTTTTATGATACGGTTCGGTTGCTATTCATGGTCGCGGATAAAGACTTGCCGTGACCTTGGTGACTCGAAATTATTGACAAAAGATTGTTATATTTCGTTTCACATCATAAACATAATTCGTTCAATAGAAAGTGATCATGAAAGCTTAGATATAGAACATATATTTTCTAAGTTAAATAAAACAATACATACAATCTGTACTTATTAAATTGTGCATTATTAGTATAAAAACAAATAACTTCCTTAGGAATTGTGGTTTACAATTTTGTATATTTTATTATTTTGAAATGAATTATATAAACAGAATGTAAGAGTGAATGACTACACACATATAGAGCATTATTATTCAAGTCATATATAATAATAAATCATATATTTTACCCTCGTCAATCGCCTCTCCTCCCTTTGTTGCTCGCTCCTATAATATATTCTTTCCAGTCGAATAGCCTTTCCCATGAAGAAAAATCTACAATATAATCATGTAGGTCATTACTGAAAAGACATGTATATTTTGCTTACATGTAGGTATTTTATGGTGAATTTAAATGTGCACATTTTATTTAAAAGGGACATTTGACAAAATAAGAACTTATTTTTAGTAAGCTAAATTAAATTATGAAATAAAAGATATCGAATCGAAGTTCAAATAAATAGTCTGAAAATAAAGAGGTTGATGGTTGGATCACTTACATTCCTATAACAGGAATAATCCCGCATACGATGACGTATGGCACACTGAAGCCCAACTGTCTTGCACCAGAATTGAGTGACGGCCACAGGAGTGCACAAACTGTCCCAGTTGCATCACATGAATAGATTCCATAGCCGAACAGGGGTGGAGTGGCAAAGATAACCGACACCACCCAACACACACCAATAAGTGTCCAGTAATACCTAAAGTACACAGTTCTTTCTGAAATATAACAACTATTAAATATAGTTTTCTTTGAAAATTAATTATCAGTATTGAGAGCTTTCTAACCTCGCCTGTAGTATCTTGCTAGCAAATATCTTTCCAGTACGATGGCAAATAAAGCGATCATTTGAAAGACACCAAAAAATTGATTCATAAATGCAAAAAGCTGGCAACATGCTGGACCAAACAGCCATCTGAAATATATTGCATTTAATTTTTTTTAAGCAAATTTAAAAGCAAAGTATTTAAAATAAGAAATGATGATTTATAAATTCCGTTTACCTTTTAGCTATCGCTGATGGTCCCGAGAATGGAAACCCAAGTAAATTTCTACCAAGTGAAGCCGAACAGAGATTAAGTATCAGCACATGACTTTTGAATATAACCAGGTGACTGTGGATGAACGTGGCATAAAGCCAAGCGTTAAGCAGCACCCCAAATATACCTGCCAGCAAACAATCCGTTGCTTTACTGCTCTGACATTTTATTATTAATAGTGGCCATTTATCATTTTTTATAAGCATTAGAAACTGAAGTACAAAAACTGATATATCAATTGCAAATTTTGAGATTATTTTAAGAGTGGAGAATCTTGTGGTTTTATTTATTTATTACATGTGCTCTACAATATAAACACGTCGGTAAACCAATAATAAATATTGTAGGTATCTTAAGAAAATTTAGATAACTTTTTTCAAAATAATATTAGGAACTACTGGCACGTTTTCAAGCCATTAACAAGAGAATTAAATTGAAAAAAAAAACTATAAACAAAACGTATCGATGGCAAATTATATATTCATTTTTATCTTTACATTACTCTTATTTATATGACTGTAGGGTAGTATTATCAATTCTTATTAATTCCAATTTTACTCACCAAACACAAAGAGGCAAGCTCCCAGAAGAGTTTTGTATGAACTGTCAAAGTAATACCATGGACACTCATCCTCGTTATAATCGAACAATGTTTGCATTGCAACGTCACGTCAAACTAATTACGATAGGCACCAAATGAAAGGGAACCGAAAACTTAAATTTGAATCAACACAAACGTCCACATAGGATAAGTGGTCACAGAGACTGGTCAGGTTGACGAACCAACATGCTTCCTAGACAATGGATGCAGATCATGTTACTGCCCTGGTGCCACTTTATGTGCGACATTACAGGCGAAAACGTGATATTTCGCTTTAAAGCAAATTACAGCTAGAGAATTCCAAAATACATGACACAAAGAAGTAACGACATAATTCAGTAAATATAGATCTAATTACAATTTAGTATAAGTATATATTTTTTATTTCTATACAAAGTTTGAATGATATATGGCCATTAGGCACTCCACTCTCGCTAGGAGCCACTCTACTTTATTCCAATATAGAAATTTAAAGAGTGCGTGTATCAATGTATTCGCGCAAGAAGTGAAACTTCTGTAGGTTATCGGTACTTTTTATGAAATTCAATTTATGTTTTAAAAAATTAGGATAGGAGAGATACTAAAATAATTTTATATCGATTTAAAAAGGAAAACAATATTTTATTGTTCACATAGTACAGATAGTGTTAAGATAAAATTTAATTTTCAATCAAATGTTGTAATGATTCAGTAAATTATACACTGTAATAAAATAAATAATAATGCAGGTATGCAAACTTTTAGTAAAAAAATAAAATTATATTAATAATGTATAAGTAAATAATTTTTTAACAATATTTATGTAATATAACTCCATCGCTCATTTAAAAATAAATAAAAGAAATATTTTTTATAAATATCTATTTTTATTTAACATATTCATTAATATATTTATATAGTTTAAATAATTTTTAATTAGCTATTTATACACTTCTGTCAAGTAACAACCGTTTCCGTTACAAAAACCGTAACGCCAATCCTTTTTTTCCCTCTCATGGCGCGCCTAAAGAAGTTTCACTTCAATAATTTTCATCGATTTTTGAACAAAATAGATACTACTCGTATATGTATATTTAAATAATTAAAATATATTTTTATATCAAGTTATGTTTTATTTCTGAGTTTTTAATAAAACCAATATCATTTACAAATACTTGTTATCATATCAAGTGATTATTGTGAAATAATGTTTAACTTAGGCAAGAGAAGTAGGATGCCATTTCCTGGAAATATGATTTAAATTCCTTAAAACTTACTTGGCGAACCGAAATGTATGTAATAATTAGACAATAGAAATCAAAATTAATGATGGAAAAAAATGAGATGTGATAAATAATTCAAATTGCTAGCTATATCTCTCCAAAAATATCTCATTATTCATAGACAAGACACGAGGAAGTTACTCGCCAACTAGTTTGCAAGTTAAATTTATCCCAATACGTGTTCTATTTTATTCTATTCATGTTTCAATGAACCAAATATAGACCAGTAACAAAGCTTATCTTAACTGACTATTCAATGAAAACTGCAATATCTATTGCGTCTTTTGAAAAGGGTCTTACAAAGCTCCAAAACAAAAATTTATGTTTCTTGTATAATAGTATAGTATTATATGATCTGTGGTATAACCAATCTAACTGTTAACTTCTAATGTAGATATGTATAATAGAATACGTAGGATTCTTAGTACATATAAATTAATAATATAAATAAATAATAGGGGGAGATATCCCCCTAATAAAAACTGTATAAAAATAAAATCTCTATGGGCATTGCTTACAAACTTAAACATTGAATATATAAGTCAAACAGGTAAAACCTTTAGTATAAAAGTAAATAGTGTTTTTATTAAGTGTTTATGTATCATACCATATACCGTACTTGATTTGAAATATGAGATATAAAAATTACTAATGAGTATATAAGCATATCTCGAAATCTATAAAAAGGTACAATTTAACGGTTAGTATGGAATAGATAGACCAGAAATTATATGATATATAGCCTATAGCCGTCCTCAATAAACGGGCTATCTAATGCGAAAAGAATTTTTCAAATTGGATTTGTAGTTTCTGAGATTAACGCGTTCAAACAAACAGTCTCTTTATAATATTAGTGTAGATATGTAAGTATTATTATTACTTAATAGATGGGTATGGTGCCGAGATCGGCCATAGATAAGTAACATAATAAGATTGTCGAATCATTTTGATGAATAACTTTCTATTATAAATTTTTATTATTTTTACTAACAGCCCACCCTCGCTTCGTTTGATTTCGAATCTAGACAAACAAATACAAATCTATCCCACGGGAACCTTACATTTTTCCGGGATAAAACGTAGCTTATTTGTTATTCTGATGTATGAACTATATTATTGTAAAGTTTCATTAAAATCCAATCAGTAGTTTTTGTGTACTACGCTGTATAGGTACAGGTTTCATCCTTGCCGCAAAATGTACATACTCGTATGTATGTCTCCGACTGCATGATACTATATTCCATCGTGAACTTGTTTTCATCTTTTTAGTTAGCTTTTTTGCAGTCGGGTTTTTTATTTTTATAATACATTTATTTATTTTTAAGTATTTTTAGGAAATTTAGCGAGAATTGCTGTTAACCAACTTTAAATCATTATATATCCTATCCTGTTATTTAAAATGAAAAATGAAAAAGCCTAAAAATGATTTTTGAATACCTATTCAACGATACCCCACTTGACATAGTTCGTCGATTTTCATTTTTTTTCTTTTTCACATTATGGAATCTAGCAGCCCCCATATTTATTGTTATTATATCACCTATCTAAGAACACTTGGACTAACAATACCTTAAATAAAGAAATCCATCGAGTGGTTTGGAAGATATGAGGGAATAAAGAATACTACAAATAAACATACAAAGATAGGCGCGAAAAACATAACCCTTTCCTTGCAGTCGGGTAAAAAAATGTGATTATATTATAAACTTATATTAATGTTTCATGCTACGGAACCCTCGGTGTACGCGTAAGACTCGCGCTTGTTTTTTTTATTTTACTATACAAATACTACAGTTGAACTTTATCCCTTTTCAATAGTTTGATCTGAGCGTTAACAAACCAGTCAGGAGCAGTCATTATATCTATATTCTCGAAGATAACGACACAATATTTTTTAATATATTTACAATTTTATATCCACATTCGCTACTTCAGCAGCCCTACATTATAATTTCTTCGCGAATATATTTATATAACAGAAAATAAGCAACACATGTTCAGTATATATATTTGATTTACACACCTCACGCCTATTTTAAAATAAACGAGAAACTAACTTACGTAACAATATTTCTTTTAGCAAATGTCGCTCCTGTTTTTTTGCGTTCGGTCGGCAGATCTGTTAATAGTAGCTAAAATAATAAGGACGAATTGTTTTAGCACAAATTATCTGATAAATTAGTATGTAATGGAAAAACAATGTTGGCAACCGACGAGTGAGAAACGTCAGGTATGCTAACACTTAACACAACGGCCGGCGCTCGTTTATCTAACTCAGGTAATTACCGGAGAGTTCGCACATGTTTTTGGCGATGTATGTATATCCGATCACTACCTAGCCAGTGTTATCAAACTCACTCATGTGTATAATCGCAGCGAGTGCGCAGTGCAGTGCCGGCACCGGACGAGTTGCGACAGGAAGATGTCGATAGAACAATTGTCTGTAATGGTCAAACAACATCTTAGTCTTCTCACCTGTAACGAGGATCGACCACATTTTTTGAAATGGACAATCTTTGAATCTCCTCTCGGAGGTCGCGGTCTTGTTGCCACAGAAGACATTAAAACTGGAGAAGTTCTATTCGTCGACCATCCGCTAGTGTACGGGCCACGTTCCGGGACAATCATACAACGCGGATGTACAGTTTGTAAAAAGATTGATAGTGAAATTTTATTTAAATGTACTAGATGTGCATTATTATTATGTTCTGAACAGTGTCAAAACAGTGGTGTCCATTTAAGTGATTGTAGTGTAATTTCCTGTTGGCCTAACAAAGTACCTATTGAGGACGTTGATGACACACTATTGTCGCGCGCGCTAACTGCTATACGCGCGTTGTTATTACTTGACGACCAAAAACATCTGTTAAGTTCACTTCAAACACATGATTTACCACAACATGGAAGCGAAATTAGAGCCTTAAGACAATATTTTGATATCCCCACAGAAGTAGAAAAATATATGATTAACGTAGCGTGTATTCTGGATGCAAATGCTTTTCAAATGGCAACTCCATATGGACAGAAAGAAATGAGTTCGCGTGGGCTTTATCCTGTTTCGTCAATAATGAATCATAATTGTGTATCAAATACGAGGTACAGTTTTAACAGTGAATCTCATATGACAATAAAAGCTGTAAAACCTATAAAAAGAGGAACGGAAATATTTACGTGTTATTCAGGAATGTTATGGGGGACACCTGCCCGGAGACTTCATCTTAAGAAAACGAAACATTTTTTGTGCTATTGTGAACGGTGCGCCGACCCAACTGAGCGCGGTACTCTCTTGGCGGCCCTAAAGTGTTTCTCGACAGAATGTACAGGCTCACTCTTGCCTATTGAGCCTTTGAAGAATAACTCAGCCTGGCGATGCTTAGAATGTGGCCTACGAGTTCCTCACAGCAACATATGCACTATTCAAAGTGCTTTAGGAAGTCTCATAGGTTCTTTAAACTTTGAAAATATATATGAATTAGAAAGATTTTTCTTAAACAGAATTAACAAATATATTCCAAGAACAAATCAAATTGTCGTAGATCTGCAATGTCGGCTAATATGGGAATTTGGCGAAGCCGAAGGACTCCGTTGGAATGGTAAGTTACAATTTATGGTGATATTTAAAGAAATACTTACATTTTGATTTTAATCAGAGAATCTATCTCTTAAAGATATCGGAGTTTTGTCCTCGATATGTCAAAGATATAAATAACTAATAAGGCATAGTGAATAGTTTGAACAAATGATAAATTGAAATTTTGCATAAATAAGTATACGTAACAAATTGATTTAAGTATATAAAAATCAATGTATGTCTGTTTGTATATTATTGACATATAGTATACTTGAGCCGGCTTCATTCATGATTGCGATGAGCGAATATATTTGTCTGAATACGTTATAAGTATATTTAAGTAAAAAAATCGATCCTATATTTAGTTTATATCATTATTAACCCTATAAAAACTAAATCAATTTTAACTATACTTACACCTGCGGTTAAGAGAATCTATATTAATTTTATTCCGTAATAAGAAAGAAATGCAGAACAGACAAAAAATAAATTATGAATTTTTTGATACTAGATGTAGTGAAAACCGAACCGAAACGAGGTATACTCACTATAGTTCTGTAATAAAAAAGAAGACCCCATAACGAAAGTCCATAAGCGTCTATCCTTCCAATGAAATCGGATGATTAAAAAAAAATTATTCGTAAGATTATCGTCGGTTGTATCTTTTTAAAAATACAGAAAATAATAGTTACAAACGTTAACAATATTCAAATAAATATTATTTTATTATTCAACCGAAAATAGAATGAATAGCAATAGTTCTTTTTTATTTACTATTATTATGTATGCTGACGAAGACAAGTGAAATACTTGGTAGTTGGATACGCACTGTTTTATTGTACGACCATTTTAAATTTACCCACACATAATATATAACAATCTTCCCCTTTTAGATACTTACTTAGAGATAACACTAAATACATTTCCTTATAGCCTAAAATATATTTAGATATTTAAACAAAAGAAAGTTTATAATTAACCCTAGGCATCGGACGCAATGACATTTCCAACTGCCCCGATCTGAGCCGGTTATCCCCGCTATAGGATTCTTCTTCGTGACACATTGTCAGCAGAAGCCTCAAAGAATTCCTCTCTCTTTACGTCTTCGACAGATGAATCATTTATCGTCGTGTCAGTTACTTGCGGAGAGTTATCGCTTCTTTCTTCTTCTTGGTTCTGTATCTTATTTTCCTCAGGAAAATCCGAGCTTTCCGATATCAAGCTTATGTCGTGAATATCGCCGTAACTATAATAGCTACGTTTAATTGACTGAGGAGTGTTGCGCGTGCTTTTATATGGATTATGGAGTGAACTGATTTTTATATTTTTTCAAAACCATTAAACTTGCACAATCTTTGATTTTAAATACAGTTTTCCTACTTTTTTATTACAATACCAATACCAAAATTACCAAAATTATTCCATGTAAGATTTTAATAAGAAAATGTTTTTTAGATATTGTATTATCGCCCGGCTTAAAACATTGATCAGTAGTACCAATACATTATGCAAGTTTTATTCTGTAAAAACTGATTACGTTCAATTTTCTTAACGACAGTGTCACTGAAAACGTCTAAGATGGTGACGGATTTATAAAATCAAAAAATTAAAAAGATATAAGTGACAACTTATAATTGTCTTAGCGTGTAGAAAATTATATAATTTGCACAACTTGAGTGTATTTTAGTAACTAGCGACTCACCCCTTTGCTCGTGTTCGTCCCTAGGTTGTTTCCCCATACAAACGTCAAATTTCATCCCCATTTTCACCCCCTTAAGGGATTAAAAGTATCCTATGTCCTTCCCAGGGTCTGAAACTATCTTCTTACCGAATTTCATCTAAATCGGTTCAGTACATCCAGAGATTACCCCCACAACGTCACAAACTCATAATCACAAACTCACAAACTTTACCTCTTTATAAATTAGTATAGATATAGATTATGATTGGTTTACAAGAGCAGTAGTTTTTTTACCAAAAACTAAAGAATAAGAGCAACACGTCAGCATTCAAAATTACGTCACATATGATTCGCAAGTCGGCTCCATGAATCAGTAGGTAGGTAAATTCCAGATGCTATTTTCATAATGGGTTAAATGCGTGTATCGACGTTGTAGCAATACATGCCGTCAGTCAATCTCAAACTCTGGTGAATTGACTGCATTTCGTGCGGGAACCGGTAGTCAAAATGGCAGAAGTATCAGATATCGAGATATTACGCCCCTTTTTTTGCGATAGTCAATCAATATGTAACGTAACTGTTTCTAAATCCACTCTGAGTGGAAAAGGTTTATTTGCAACCCAGCTCCTGAAGAAGGGATCACTTCTATTTATAAATAAACCTATTGTGTATGGTCCTCGAGCTAATTGTACAATCGAAAAGTTTTGTTCATATTGCTATCAAGTTAACAATTTATGTTATTCCTGTGAAAAGTGTTACACATACATTTGTTCAGAAAATTGCAAAAATTCAGATGACCATAAACAAATGTGTGTTTTAATCTGTACAAATTGGAACTTAAAGCAAACTACTGACTCAGTTGAAAGCACTTCTATAGTACTTTCGCGTGTGCTAATTTATTTACGATTTCTATTACTTTCTGAAGAACAAAAATCTTTGTTGAGTATATTTCAACGAAGTGATATAACTTCAAAATTTGAAGAACTAGAACTATTGCAAACTAAATTTTATATTCCTGAAGAGCAAATTGAGTTCCTTAGAATGGCAAATTCCATAATTAAAATAAACTCGTTTCGAATAAGCAATAGTCATAACGCTAAAACAGTGGAGCTAAGAGGTTTTTACCCGGTGTCAGCCTTCATGAACCACACATGTGTTCCAAACACTAGAAATATATTTACAAAGGAATACGCAATGGCTATTTTTGTAAGTAAAGATATTCAAAAGGGAGACGAGATCACTTGTTGTTACACAGGTATTTTATGGTGCACCCCTGCCCGAAGATTCCAGCTTTATAAATCGAAGAAGTTTTGGTGCAAATGTACAAGATGTAGTGATCCAACAGAGATGAATACGAAATTGTCAGCATTAAAATGCTTAAATAAAGAATGTATAGGAATTCTTTTACCAAAAACACCTTTAGATCCACAAACAAAGTGGCTCTGCGATACTTGTGACACGATTGTTCCTTTAGAAAAGATAAATATGATACATAGCGCATTAGGCAGCCTCGTCGGAACTCTTAAGTTGGACGACGAATTTCTAATGAATAATGCAGTGCTCAAAAGGCTTGCTATGTTTATCCCCTATTCAAACCACATCTTTGTTGATATTAGATTAAGATTGGCGTTAAAACTTGGTTTTATGGATGGCGACCTTCTAAACGGTATAAATAATCGGAATTTATTTCGTCTAACAAAACTAACTTCAATAACTAAATGGATCTATCATTATTAAAACAGCTGATGATGAAAATAACGACAGGTATGGCATTACTATTAATTTATCATTTCATTTTACTCGTGCATGTTCATTATACGTTACTACGATCTTACCATATTCGATGTGCCATTCTAGACGAATAATAATTATTTTTTAAGTAAAAAGACACACTTGACTTTGAAATCACCTTAAAAGTAATTTTCTTTGGGAGGTGAATTTTTTCTCGTCATTTATAAAGAACTAGCCACGAGGCACATAGCTATAAGCTAATGATATATACTCGAACAAAAATAGCTTATGCATTTAAAAAAACATTACAATCGATTAAGAATTGGCAACATAACGTAACAAAAATAAAAAAGAAACACCGAATTTAAGAACCTCCTCTTTTAAGCTCAATCAAAAAATGCCACAATTGAGCATCATCGCAAATATAGAAAAGAAAACATTTAAACATTCCTTGTACGTATTAATGAAAATAAAATATTTGAATGTTATATTTTTAACAATTTATTGCATAACAGTATGTATACATACTTTACGTAAAATGTATATCGCTACAATAGAGACTATTATAATAACATGCACAGTGTTAAGTTTCTAGGACATGATGCGGTTTCCATTATGTCAAGGTTTTTGTAAATATATTTAATTTAATGTCAGGTAGTAGGTAAATATTGATGCAAAGGAAAATCTTAAAGTACTAATTATTTTATACAAACAGTTAAATATTAATTTCCGATAGCAAATTATATGAATTAGTGGCTTTTATTATATTTTAAATGAAACGTTTTAAGTATACTTACTTAAGTTTTAAGTCAGTAATAGAACGTAAAAATTAAAAACTGCACAGTGCACTTTTTTTATTTCAACAAACCTCTTCATGTAAATGGCAATTTCGGGCTCGTTTTCTATTGCTATTGAGATGTTGCTGGTGCCAGGTAGGAAATAAAATTTATTAAGATATTAGTTAAGAGTTTCATAAGATCAAAGCCCCAATTATAAATTCACAAGTGTCTAAATAAAAAAGTGTTCATGTATTCTTCTTATGAATGTTTTAATACATCGACTTTGATTATATGCTCTACATACGATGCTTATATATCAAAATCTGTATGCGATTATAATATGAAATTGATCTTCCTGAATATCTGTATCTACTATAATAATAATATATACATACATATATCAGAAAACTACTTTGTCGAATATTAAAATCTGATTTTTTTGGATCTTATTCGTGATATTGTTAGCTAATTTGTAGTAACGTCACAAAGTAACATATCAAGTCGTTATTACGTATGAAATACATATTACACTTTACACAGGTCCATGTAAAGGTAAACGTGTAGCCTCGGTCATTACTCGCGTTTGCAATAATTGTAATCAGTTATATTTGGATGCGTCTCGCACAATAGATATCTAGGTTACAATGTTTACTAAAACTGCTATTTCTACATGATGTGCATTTGCATTTCTTTAGCACCAAACAGCGATTCGCCCTGGCTTTACTTTGTCGGCAATTATTACGCTTATTACCTATTTATCAGTATTCTTTGAAATTTCAGTGGGAAGCATTTAATGCGTCATGATAAAAGTTCTATGTCACTTAACGACAAAACCTAAACTATATCTATTAAAAATCACACCGATTTCTCTTAGATCTAAAAGTGATTGTTTACAAATGAACTACTAGATCTAAATTATAATAGGACTAGTCACAGTCTCTACCATTTAGTGCATGTAATCTTCTGATATAACTATCTTTTAAATAAATTACATTATAAAAAGAACATCTGGGTCAAAAATTACTCTATATATGTAGGTATATGGACCGGATGCGGTATGTGTACATGAGTATGTATTTTCGTCGAAACATATTTATAAATCTCCCATATATTTTATGTTTTTTTTTTTATATTGGGACATTAACACACAGCACCATCTAGTTCCATGGTAAGCTACGAGACTTGTGTTATGGATACCACATAGTTTATACACTACACATATAATTTTAAATACATACATATTATAAATAAAAACACTAATGACTGGAGTACAAACATTCGTGCTCATCACACAAATGAATGCCCCGAGCGGGACTTAACCCGCGACCGCTGGCAAAGCAATTAGGGTCACTACAAACTGAACCAAACGTGTTGTCAAAAAATATTACTAACCGGATAAATAAATTGTTATAATAAAAACAAATAAAAACAGACTTAAGAAAACACTAAAAAGTAAAAAATAACTGATTAATAGTTTTCATTTACTATAGTTACCTACTTAGTAAGATATTTTCGAAGTTGGTGTGCTTTGATTTGTATCGGCTGGCACCGATATCATGTGATTATATACTAACATAGTAGCAAAATAAGAAGAAAGTATTTTAAAAATTCCGTAGATGAAAAATCAATCACACTTGGGGTGGGTTTTTTTTTTAAATTTAAATGAGAAAAAGTTTGCGGTTTGAGAGGGTCCTATTCAATAAAAAACTTAATAAGTTATGCGTGGTCAAACAGTAAAAAAAATACGTGTCGAATTGAGAACCTCCTCCTTTTTTTCGTCGGTTAAAAATCACTTTTCCCTTTCTTTGCAAAGCAACGTAAGAGAATAGTAATTTTTACTCATACATACTCGTATGTATATTATATATATGTAAATACACATAAAATAAACCTTATTGCCAGACTGTCACACATATGAATCAAACTATTAAATGCGTCAAATGATATTAATTTATGAAATTGTAGAAGTTCCAAAACCCAAATACTATAAATTATGTCTGGAAATCTCGGAGATTATATTTAAAGTTATATTTATTGTTATTAGTCTGTTGACATTTGAGTAGGTATATCTAAAAATAATATAAGGTGAAACGCACGTCGCTTTCTTTATTGAAACTAGTTTTTAATCGCAAGATCACGTTTTGATTTTTCTCCGCTGAAAAGGATAAACATACATATATTTTATCAGGTACTTAGCTAATGAACCAGCTAATGAACGGACGTTTATTATATTTGACATAACCATTACAATGATATGGAAATAAATTATTATACTTAATAGGTAATAAACAGGTAGTATATAAAATATAAAATGTAGGTAAAAGGTAAAAAAAATCTTGCATTTAAATTCAGTTGAACAACTCTGCTTTATACGTCAGATAACTGCGCAATTCCTATCGGGATCATAAACGCCAGTATGAAAAGCTAAATTACTTTAAAGCCGCAAGTAACTTTTAAAAGTCATTAACGGCATTGAATCCGGAGTGTCCTGACATATACAAATAGTGCGCATCAAGTGAATAAAATCAGTGACGAATATTCCGTGTGGGTCAGTTATTGGATTGATCGCCACTGACATGGGCGCCGCTGCGAAAAATGCACGACCGCATGTGGTAACTAGGTGGATCTGCGCTCCTCAGCCGTTAGTACTCTATCAAACTTGTATTACGATTTAGGATCAACTTTAAATCATAGATATAAAGTGTATTATTAATAGTGTCTCAAGCACATTATTTGGCATCGATTGTAATATTTGGCATTGATTGTGTATTTGTAGTGACATCAAGAGGTACGATATGTTAATTAATCGTTACGCGACTTTAAGTGTTACGTGAATGCTTAAAATTTGTTATCAACGTGTAATAGCCGCTCTGTTTTTGTTATACATTTAGGTGATGGAAGTTGAAGGTCTGTGACTAAAAACGTTGCCAACTATTTTACTATGACGATTGGCTCCGCCAACATCTGATTTCAACTCAAACATTAGTTTCAATACTAGAAATTCTTGAACAAAGACGTCAATCATTGTTGCAATAAGTATTTTACATATACCTACAAAGCTTCGTTCAAATTTTGTCCAACCAATTAGTCCAGTGCAACAATTAAACCCACAATATTGCATCTTGCATTTATAAAAACTTACAAACAATTTATTAGAAATCCTATGACATACCACATTTGTTTCCCCTGTACGCAAGTCTAACAAAGTGACCAACCTAGTAAACTTAACACGATAAATATAACATAACGAGATAATATCAATTATTTTGTAGATATAACAAAAAATATAATTCCTTAGCAAATACAAAACAATCATGTTTAATTACCCCTCATTATTTCCTATATCAAGGAACAAAATAACTATTGTCATAGACATATAACGAAAGCTGCGGGCGAAAAATCTATTAGAACCTATTTAATGCTTACCTGTTTTATGTTTTCGATTATAGAGCTGTCGGAGTCCCGGCTGGCTCTGAAGGAGAGTCTCTGCCGCGGCACGCTGCGCACGGTGGCGGCGCTGGGCGCGGGCGACGCGCACCTGCGCGGCCTGCTGCTCTATCACCTGCACGCCTCGCTGGCAGAACGCGCCCGCCGCTCGCCAGACCGATATGAAGTAATTACAATATTCACTAACATTATTAATACTTACTTCTATATTATTTGATTTACATATTTATTAAAATATTTATGATCTATTATCTGAAATTTTGTTTTGTATACATTTATCAATTTACATCAATTATATTAGAACTCTATACAAAAATCAATAACTATATCGGTTAAAGTATACCTTAGATTGTAGCAAAAATAATTATTATTATATTATAATAATATTATTGATCTAATACCAATAATATACAAAAGTAAGCATAACAAAGTAACAAAAAATATTAAAATAATGTATACACTAAGCTATTATATACCTATAACTTATTTATTTTTGCATAAAAAACATTACAAAAACACATAATTCATAAATAACTTTCAAAATAGACAATTATTATTTACTTGTACAAGTTACATCCGTAATCTCACCTCCGATCATATCAAACATTGATTAAGAAACTTCCGACAAACTCGGTCAGATGCTGACCGAGTTTCGTACGACTATTGATATTTTCAACCCCTCTGTATTTTCTATTTTGTACGGGGCTATTTCGATTTCCGAGTGTTGTACATTTTTGACAATGTAGGCTAACATTTGTGGGAGACACTCGGAAACTTGTGTATACTATTTCCAACTAGTTAAGTTTAAATAGATGAATGAGCAAACTTAATAACATAATGAATAGTGTTCATTAGGCATTAAATATGTTTTTAAGCCATATAAGCAGGTGTCAGGCTAAAAAAGTCATAGTTACAAAATCTTAAGACTCCAAAAGTCAATTTCATTTTTTTTTATTCAGCTTTATTCAACTTTTAGTTTATTACAATTTAAATGTATCTTTTACTGAACTTAATCAGTCCTACCAATAACTCGAAAAGAAAAAACCTCAATCCTGAGAGAACGGGAAAAGAAACTCAGCGGGACTAAATTTTTTAAGTCTATATTTTTTCGTAATATTTAGAACGACTAAGTAGTCCTAACAATAAAAACAAAATCCTAAATAACGTGACGTAAAATATAGTGATTAAAAATGATAATTATAACACCACTTTCCTTCACTATCCTTCATTACTTTATACATATTTTAATATATTTTTCATAATATGTTTCAGGAATTGAAATCCGAAATTGAGAGTACTATAGAGCAAGCCTACAATATACTTCAAGGCGATTTATCGGCGCCGCCAGATCTAGAACTACGAAGACAATACCTTGGCCCTGGTTGCGATAAGCCTCATGAAGAAAAGTTCTTTATTCTCGATGCTTCTGATAGACTTTATTCATAATGTAATTATAAATAATACAAAATGTGTTCATAAAATTATTTAATTTAGACATTATTGAATTGAAAGATTATTTGAAAACGTTACAATTAAAATGAATATTTTTTATAGAATATACAGAAAAAAATTAATACATTTATTCCAGCAAGTAAGTAAATTATTATTGTAATATTTAAACTCGATTTAATTATTATTGAAAAAACTCAATACTGTTTCGTATTCTTTTAATTGATAATTATTATATAATAAAATAAGAATGTACATACGTCTTATAGATAGATATTATTGATATAAAGATTTGTATAAGCTTAGCCCCATTAATCCCAGACAATAAATGAAATGAAAGAGTTTATCGAGCTATATTATGAATATAAAATAACCTCATTGTCAATATACATTACAGTAATACCCCGGACTTACGCGATAGGTGGGACTGAGCGATGACCGTGTAAGTCGAATTCGCGTAAGTCGGGGGTTTAACTTTGAATATAAATACATATAAAGTATGCTTAATCGGGACCAGAGTCTAAAGAAAACAGTAATTTAGAAGAAACATGTTTAATAAAATGTTAGACAATATAAGAATTTTCATTGTTATGAATAAAACAACGTAAACCGGAGATATTTTGATGTCGTTAAGTCGGAGTTAAGTTTTAATGTCCGTTGACGTCCAGTCTGTTTTGATGCTTGATTCCGGTAGGTCAAATTTATTTGCCAATTCACGAATTTTTATTTGTGCTTTAAAGTCTTTGATAAAGTTCAGCTAATACTCCAAAGAAAGTGTTTTTCTTTTCTTGTTAGGTTCAAATGATTCATTTTTTGTTCTTTTGGATGACATAATTAGAGGCAATCAATAAAAAGCACTGCGTACGTAAAACAATTCCACGCGGAACACTTTCAAACCTGTCGTAAACGGAACACTAACATGGCGGAGTGGCAGAGCTGATGCGCGCGGCAATCAAAAAGAAAAACCGCGTATCTCCGAATTCGCGTAAAACAGGGTAGCGTAAGTCGGTGTGGCGTAAGTAGAGGTATTACTGTATTATGTATTTGTATGCACTTTTAGATAATGTATATCATGGATGACAAATAAAATAGATGAATTAGTTCTGATGTATATGCTGTACCCAAATATGCTGTATTATTGATGTGAAACATCTATCGGCGCGCCTTGGCAGTAAAACCAAGTTGTGGTGTGACGGCAAATGGTGGTGTGACGCTGTCATGTCATCATGCCCCTTGCTGTCGACGCCCTTGTGTATGTGCGCGCGTATACTATACACACTCCACTGTAAAACAGTCTCTATTAAAAATACTTACATATTTTCTGTATATGTTTTCTATACATATTATATATTTATGAATATATGTAATATAATATTCTGTAATTATTATTATAAGAAAAATAAATTTATTTTATGAACGAAACTCTATTTTTCTTTATTTTACGCATATTTCGTTACAGGTTTTTATGAATTATGAATTCTAAGATTAACATAGATGTTTCACATCTATCGAGCGTCCCGTGACGGCCAACATTTTTAAAGTTAGTAGGTATATCCACTTAACATAAGGATATCTCTTTCTACTTTGTGCAAATATCATTTTTAGCATATTTCTAGTAGGTACACCTTGAAGTTTAGCACTAAAAGACTATATGGAAAAAATATGGGTTTCTGTTAGGCACCTAGTGACGCACCCAAACGAAGTGAGAGACAGTCGCTAGTAACAATAATAAGTAAAAATAAATACATTTTAGCATTAATAGAACGAGAAGTCCAAATAAGTTTCAATTTCGGCCGAAACTAAGACCGTGCCGTTTTATGACAAATTTCGTTTACACGATTCAAAATATTAATGTATCTAAAAATATGTATATATATAAATTATATGTACATAATATACTCATATAATAAATTATATTTATATATTATGTTTATGTGACAGCGCGTAGGTATATTATGTTTATATTATAATATACTTTTGTAAACGTATGTACTTCAAAGCAAATAGTAATATTTTTAGTAAATAGTTTGTAAATCCATTTTATACATAGCGGTCACTATAATTATAGCGCCTAACTTATACATGAATAATAAAAAGAAATTTTAGGAGGTTATATTATCACTTTAAAAAAATCTACTATTAACTAGTAAAATTGTAACTTAGTCCACGATCCACATGGAATTAAACTCTTTGTATTTTTCCGACTATGGCAAAGCCAAAAGGAGGGCTATGATTATATCAGTCTATGTATGTCCATACAATATATACCTATTATGTAATGCCATCTAAGTTAACGGCCTCGGTGTTTTAGTAGTGGCTTGCAGTGTACGGCTGCAAACCGATAGTCCTGGCTAAGTAAAACGCTAGTGAGGCCAAGTATATATTTTTTTATTTTTCTGTCAAAGGTTTCGTAGTAACAACCCGGTATTGGATAATTCGCGTGCCTCAGGGAAAACCTACGTAAAGAAGTCAGTCCTACGTCTGATGTCTCGCCGGTCGTGTCGAATTACTATCTCATCTGATTTTGAGAAGGAATAGAGATTAGGTATGCATGTGTTTACGCACATATTTGTATTATTATAATATATGTTCTACATTTATATTATATATATATATATATATATATATATATATATATATATATATATATATATGACGGAGGAAGATTTAGTTACCTTTTTCTGCGATAAAACCTTATTATTGTTTAAAGTCACTATATTATTTAGTTTTTATTGCTTCGAAAGTGATTTTAAATTTAGTGCAGAGATTACGTTTCGAGGGTGTCAAGACGCCATCATAACATTCATTGGAGATATGTGGATTAGTAACGTTGGTTGATCATGGTGGATCATAGAGTTATACTTTGATATTGAATGTGAAAGTCTGATTGGTGACTATGAATCCGTTGACTGTAAATCGTTAGAATTACCATTTCAAGTTTATAACATTGTGATTTCCCTGTTTAAATTATGTACTGAGCATATACTCGTAATACTTTATTATTTGAGCTCTGATAACTCCCATAAGATTAATAACCACTAGAGATGATGCTCGTAGTATATGGATAACATGTCATATACAGGGTTATTGGTAATTCGACGTATTACCGTTAGGAGGTGATAGGGGTGACTATTTGCGATAATTTTAACCCCCATATGCATTATGCCAAAAAGTGAACCATTTTTGAGTTATCATGGTTTTTAGCTTTTTTTTTCAAAATAAGTCAAAGATGTTGCACATCAAAAAATTATTTAAAAAAAGTATCAATTTAAATCTCTTCTTTTTCTGATTTCTGAAAACGATTAAACAGTGGTTACCAATCAATATTAAAACAACAATTATTATCGGTACAAATTTAAAAATATCTGACGAAAACAATATTATTTCAATATTTTTTTGAGACTTTCTTCCACTAAAATATTTTAAAAACAAAAAAAAACGTTATGAAACTTGGCTTGCAGATTATTTTAAAAACATAACTGTTTTCTTAGCTCTCAAACAATGCATAACAACTAGGAACTTTTTTCAAAGAAATTGAAAAAAAATGATCACAAAAGAAGCAGGCGGAAATTCGTATTCGAACTTCGAGTTATTCTTTGATTTACTTTCAGATATTATTACGCCTACCTAATATTACTTTTACTATTTTCATTAAAGTAAGGTGCAGGTGACACTAAACTTGACAAAGTAATTATTATCAAATATCAATACAATGATATTGGAGAAGAAAAAATCGATATCGAATAATATTTATTTTTACGCACTAGACACGTCAATAACAATTAAGAAAAAAGGGTTACATACTCTATGAATTAAGAACAAATGTCAAATGTCAAAACTGCTTAAGTACTATTTTTGTAAACTAAAAGAAAAACTTTAATGAAAATTTACGGTGTTCTTATTTACTAAATTAGACGAGAAATTAAAAATTTGCTCAACTTTTCTTTATTTTTTATTCTTATATGTTATTATCACAGATAATTAACTTTTTGTAGCAAATAGCAATGTGTAATTTAAGTTGATATCAGGCATTATCATAATAAGATTAATGTTGTATTCAATTCGATTCGTTTATCTCCCTCAGTATTATTGCTCATTGTTCAATCTTGTTACCAAGAGTCCACATTTCCAAATAAAATATTATAATACGTGCACAATGAAATCTTGCCGAAAAGCTCTTCTTTTGTCATCTTCTAATTGTCATGGGTATTCATTGTTAGAATTTTCAAAACAAGAAATCTGTACATTCCTACAAACGTAAGTAATAATGTTACTTGTACAATGAAATTACTAATTTATACCTTACGTTAGATTATTTCCAGGAATCATGTATCTGATCTAATTTTTGTGCCGTATGCACAAAATGGATATGATGAATACACAAAAAAAATTAAAGATGTTATTAATCCATGGGGATTTAACGTGAGAGGTTTACACACCTTCTCTGACCCTGTTAATGCTATAAATTCAGCTAAAGCAATATTTATTGGAGGAGGAAACACTTTTCTGTTATTAAAAACCTTGTATGATAAAAACTTAGTTAATCTTATTAGGGAAAGAGTTAATGCTGGAAATCTTTTATACATTGGCAGTAGTGCTGGAACAAATGTAGCAACTAAAAGCATCCATACTACAAACGATATGCCTATTACTTATCCACCTTCATTCGATGGTATTGGTATAGTACCTTTTAACATTAATCCCCATTATATTGACAAAGTAGAAAATGAAACTCATAAGGGAGAAACAAGAGATCAAAGAATAGGTGAATTTATGGAAATGCCACATGCGAATCCAGTACTTGGGTTAAGAGAAGGCTGTATTTTACATGTTAATGGAGAATCTTTAATACTCAAAGGTGTAGCTGGTGCTGTGTTATTCAAAAAGTAAGTGTAAAAAGTAATAATAATTTGTATATTAAGAATGACATTGTAATTTTAATCGAAACTTTACTATATACTAATTCTTTACTATATAATATTACTTTAATATATCCATTGCTATTACAGAGGGGAACCAAAAGTTGAATATCCATCTGGAGCAGATGTATCATTTCTATTGGGAAATGTGAAAGATATCTGTTAAATTTTTATAGCAGTCTTCTGAACTGAAATTGTACAAAAAATTCACATTAAGAAGTTATTTATAACATTTATATCTATCTGTATATTACATATGTAGTGATGGATAAAAAAATAAATAATAAAAGAAATAAAACAAAAGTATTTTTAATAAAAAATCTAAATATTTATTACTGTTTTTGTTTTTATTCCATAATGAATTCCATATTAAGTATTAATAGACTCAATCCAATAACAGATTTCCATTTATAGAATTTCAGGAGAAATATCTGATTTCATTAATATGGTTTTCAAGGAAAATTATAGTGCCGAGTGTACTGTTGATTTAACTATAACACTAGATATTAAATCAAACATTAATTTTAGAATTGAGTTAATATATAAACTTGACATGAAAAATAAATACTTTACTATTGCATTTATATTAAAGTTTTACACTTAACTTATAGTCTCGTTTTAAATATACGACTTCAACTGACGAAATACACTTTGATTTAAAACACTTGAGTTCAATCTTATATACAAATTTATCTGAGAGTTCATACAGGCTTTGAAAGTCCTTAGGATAGTTATTTATCCTCTATTATAGATATAATTGAAGTTATATGATTATGTAACACTCCAAAGCTTAAGATCCAAGACCACCACAATGACATGCTTATGGCAAAAATGTTCATTTAGAAAAATTTGGGTTTTGAAAGTCTTTGTCAGCCGGTCACAGGTGCTTGCATTAATAAGGCTCGCGCTGTATGGAATAGTGAAGGTTGAGGCGCCACACGCGACTGACCAGTTCGTTCTGCGACGGGCAGCTGACAGAGATAACGACGCAAAGCTAAATCTCGTCTCGCACTTAGTCCACGCGTTATTTCGCATCCAGATCCAAATAGGACTGCACGCTGACGCTTTCGCTTCTCCATCGCCACCTAAAATAAAATAAATATCATCACTAGGAACTTTCTAATGGGCCAACTAACACAAAATGTTTACAGTAGACTAAAATATGGTGTTTGTTAAGAAATTTCCTCTATTATATCACTTTTATTATATTCAACTTTTAAATTAAAAATCAAAACTATTGAATTGTTTGTTTGGCAATAATAATAAATACTTATTGTTCACCTAATATGGCTTATCATATTGAAGCTATAACATTTTAAATTATGAAGCTACAACTTTAATAACAATCAGACCATAAACAACAAACACAAATTTTACCTGAATAGCTGCTACTGGATTTAATTTATCAACATCTGAAGGGGCCTCTGGTTTCTCTGAATTACTTTCCTCATGCTTTCCATTCACTAATTCAGATTTATCATCCTTGTTATCTTTTGGTGGTTTTCTTTCTGACTGAAGTGACTCTGCATTTTGTTCTAGAATATTCTGAACAGTAGTTTTACCAGCCATATCAATGGATAGACCTAGACGAGGGAGCACTCGTTCTGGTCTCCATCGGTCCCTCGCGCCACCTGCCGGCGCAGTTTGCTCTCGTCGATGGACATCCGCCACCAGACTTGCCCAATCTACGCCAAGAGCATCACCTAAACCAGCTAAACAGTAAAAAGAAAAATAAGTAAAAATACTGATTGATTACTTAAAGACTTACATTACTATAAATTGTTGCTGTTTTATATATATGTACTCATAAATGGAGAGCCGATTTTTTTTCGGTTATACTGCGATAACTACTGAACCGATCGGAATAATACTCATACCATAAGATGCAGCGTGTTTCGGAGAAGGTTTTAGTATATGATATGTTGGTGATTAATGTACTATGCGGGCGAAATATATTTAATTTTAATTTCTAATAAACATTTGCACACCATTCTTATCTATCTGTCCTAAAATCATTGCCATATATAATAAATATTGTGTGGTATGACTCACCACGAGTTCTTTCCTCTTCTAGTTCACCATCTGATATTTCTTCAAAGTCCAAATTAGCAACATCTTCATCATCTTTGCCCTCGTGTGACTCTTTCTCTTCACCAGCTCCACTTGTATCCTACGTGAACAAAAGTGGTATCAAATATTACTTTTTAAATTTAACAACACTACATTTAACTTGCATTTACATACCTGCGTCGATTCCTTTTCCGAACACTCTGGCTTTGATATATTTTCTTCAACAGGTTGTTCAATTTGACTGCTGTCGTCCATATTTTGGTCAACCATCTAAAAAATAAATTAGAACTTAAAAAAAAACTAAAAAGCCATCAAATCATTACAAAAAATCATGATTAAAAAAATTACATCATCTCTATCAAGAATATCATCGGGATCATCACTGATTTCACTGAGATCGTCAGGAATGGGTTTATCATCAGCCTCTGGTTCTTCCGAGGCTGCGGCCACTTGTGTAGAAGGTGGGGCCTCTTTAGTTTCCGTTTCATTTCTTGGAGCACGTCTTTTATTATTCTCATTTCTGCCATGATCCATTCTGCCACGATTGTAATCATCTGAGGAATTAGATTTTATACTTAACATACTCGTAGTTAGCGTAAATATATCAGTACACAAATTGTAAAATATAAAATGTATACTATTCATTGTAACTGGGTATTTAATACTTTTTTTAAATGTGTTGCTTGTTTTTTGAATAAGAAATGCAATAAAGCAACTAAAGATCATCAATATCAAGATCAAGATCAAGTATGGATAACTTAAATAGGAAAATAGATAACACTGTGTCCATTCCATATTAAGATTTGCATTTAACCTACCATGCATACGACCACGGTGAGGCCCGGGGCCGTGTCCACGATGATGCCAACCTTCCACATCTTGATCTTTATCACCCCATTCGTTCATCTAAAACGAAATTTCACCTTAATTAAATAGAACTGTGTAGAAATATAATTTAATACAACTTATATGGCATACCGAAATGAGGATATGGGCATCCAAGGAATATATGGGATAGGATGAAACAGGATTTAATAATTCTCTTGCGATAATCAATTGGTTCATTCCAGTACAGATATTGGTGATACAAACTTACCTAAAGAAATAATTCAAAAATGAAATTAGTAGAGGGATTTCATTAAATTAATAGAGGTATTGAATAAAGGAACATAGAAAAGGCTTCACGTGTGAATATTACCTGGGAATCGTGCATAGGCCAATGGCGCTCTCGGCCCCAGTCACCAGGGCCCCGATAATCTTCATTGTCCCACTCTTTGTGAGAATGCATGTAACGCTCACGATCCATTGACCCTGATCGCCCTTCCCATGAATGATCGCGATGTGGTCTTCGATCATCGTAACCTGTGAACATAAAAATCATAAGCCTGGCATTGTCCACCGAGCATTTTTAGTAGGGACGCATGAAACTGCTAAGTATGGACGGAGGATACTTAAACAAAAAAAAGAGTATATACTTCAAATATCTCGGAAACGTGACACCACTTCAGGGCACCATGTTGCTGATATTTTTCATTTGTTTAAACTTTTAAGTGTATTGCATCCAAATATACCAGTTAGCTACATTACTGCGGTGCGCAATAAAACACGTTTAGAAAAAAAAAAAATTAAAGTATGTTGCAATGCTACAAAGGTATGTACATCAATCATTGAAACAACCAAATAACCCACCTCTTGGGTCTCCCATGGATTCCCCATACATCCTGTCATCATCATCTGGATACCCCCTTGCAGGACCAGGCATGTCATAACCTGGGTCATAATGTCTATCCCTGCCCTGCATGTTATAACCGGGCGAACGTTCACCTTCTCTGGCGACGCCATCATATCGATCGTCCATTCTGTCATAGTGTTCAATATTATGGCCATGGTCATATTGGTGGTCCATACCGATTTCGTAATCGCCTTGCTCCCTATCCATACTGTCTAATCGGTCTCGCTTATTCGATCTATCTCTTTCTAATCTATCCTGCTTACGACCGCCCCGTTCTGAATGAGTGTCTTGTCGATCTTTCGAATTAGTTGAGTTTTTATCAGACTCTAACGCCCTATTTGAGATAGCAGCTAGCGCCGCTAAGCGTTCTTCTGGACGGGGAAGTAATCTTTGCATTGGCTTATTTGGTTTTTCCAGTCCCTTATCACCTCTTCCACTACCTAAACCACGCTCACGTCCCCTTCTTTTTGGATCATCTCTTTTGTTATCCTTATTTCTATCTCGTCCCCTATCTTTTCTATCATGTCTATCTTTATCATCATGTTTATCTTTCTTTCTCTCTAAGGAACGATCTTTATGATCACGCCCACGATCTCTATCCCTACTTTGAGATCGCTTCCTGTGTCGATCTGGACTTCCATCTCGTCTCACTTGTTTCTTAGGTGATACAGGTCTACTCCTTTCAGAACTGTCTTTTCTCCTTGGATCTTTTGGATGAGAGCCATGTCTACGAGGCGACCTAGACCTTGCTTTCTTCGGTGATCGACTTCGCGGCCGAACTCGATCCCTTTCTTTCTCACGTTCCTTCTCTTTTTCTTTCTCACGTTCTTTATCTTTACCACGATCTTTTTCCTTATCTTTATCTCGAACTGAATGAGGTGAAGCACTCTTATTTCTTTCTTTTCGTTGTGGAGATTTAACAGTTTTAGCAACAGCCTTAGTTGTTACACTTTTTGAAGTAATTGGTGGTGTTCCACCAGATTTTTTGCCAGGTGACAATGACTTCTTACCGATGGCTTTAGAAAGATTTTTCTTTTTAGTTGCTTCATGTTTCTTTACAAGCCTATCTTCCTTCTTAACAATCTTTTTTGATTCACTTTTGTCTCTCTTTAGTGGATCAGCTTTAAGTAATTTTTTCTTAGTAGGTATATCACATTCTGATGATGAACTGGAATTTCTTTTTAATTTTCCTTTCTTCATTCTTCTCTTAGCATCCCTAGAATTATATCATATGGTTCATTATCAATCTCAAGAAAAAGAAATCCTTTCATTTAGCATAATATATAATAATAATATGTACCAATATATTACAATTAAGAATGAAGCCATTAAGTTTCAATAATATTTAATTACATTATGTTTTATGGTAGCTCTGTTAGTGTAGTTGTTTATTTATTTATAATTACTCCATTCTAAAGGTTTGTATAAAAAACTGTTTTACAGACTTTCACTGGTTAAAGAACCGAACCGAACCGAACCGAAACCTTAAACTGAAAAGCCTTTTAGTTTTGGGGCCAATGACCAAATCCGGCTTAAAAATAGAACAGGTTTCTGAGCCCTAACTCAAACAAAGAAAAAGAATCTCTTCAAGTTCATGATATTGGTATGAGTATTATTTTAAATATTTGACACTCACTACTAAAGCGGTTTTTGGAAATACCAGCTGCTGCTGCAGCTGTTTTTGGACACCTATTGATGTGCAATTCTTAAAATTATCTTTATTAAAATTTGACATTAATGTAAGCAATCTTAACTTATTTTCATATATTTAACAATATTTATAAAATATTATATTGTTTTTTATTAGTTGTTTTGCTAAAATTATTATATTTCTTAAACAATAATAATTTAAAAGAAGAAAAGGATATTAAATACTGAAATTTGCTACTTTTTAAAACAAGAAAATATTGTGAAACCTTGATTCACATTTTATTTTGATACCTTCCAGATGAAGATGATGAAGTGCTACCTTCTGAGGAAGAAGATGATACACTTGATGAACTAGAACTTCTTGATGAAGATGAGCTAGATACTGTTTTCTTTTTGTCTTTCCGCATGTCTTTAGTAGAGTCCATTTTCATTTGTAACTCTAATTCACGCTGTAACTGTTGTCTTCTTTTTTCAAGAACATCGGTGTCCGCATATTCTAAGTCATTTTGGTCCCAGTTGTCAATTTCACCCTCTGGGCTACGACCCGACCTAACAACTACAGCAGAATGCAAACGGTTTTTATTATCATCTTTAGAAAGACGTTTATTCTCAGTATCTTTATTTGCCGCACGTTGCTTTGATGGGCTTATTAAAGTATGTGTAGAAGCAAACTTACAATTTTTTCCGTAAGCGCAATTCCCGTGTTGAGCCCACTGTCTACAATATTCAGTTATTTTTTTGGTACTTGATGATTTCTTCGTACCGAGACGCTCAAACACACTAGGTCTATTTGAAAGGTCTTTTGTTTTCGGCAACTCGACAGTAATTTTTCTCTTTCCTTGTTTTGACATTATAATGAAACATTGGTCTCACCGAAAACGTTTATTAGACAAATACATCTCCTCAACGCAGGGCTATATTAGTTTACAGAAAGCAATATGATGAGACAGAATGAACGATTATTTTAATTCAAAATTTTCTATGCAGAACATTAAGCATTATGAAATGAAATAAATTAAATAATTAGCTCTCGCAATATTGATTACAACTTTGGAAGCAACTCTCTAACGCCATTTCGCCTAAGCTGTCAAATTATTTTAAACATGGATGACCAAATTTAAATACAGAATTTGTAGACTATATAATGTCACCTAACCACAATAATAATGCCATTATTAATATGAAATAAAGTTAAATTTGCTATTACTATATTAAATAGAGTTCAAACATAATTGACACATTAATAATTAACAATATAATCATGGAAACTTTGTCACTATGTTTAATTGGTAGTTCTTAATAAATAAAAATACTACCTATTCATTTTTTTTTTCTACAAAAAGTCATATTTTTATTTTTACTTAATCAATTTATTAATTTTCTTAATAAATTCAATATTTATTAAGAAAATTATACAGCATGCATTTACATTCAATGCTTGGCGTTTTCCAATTACAGCACTAAAGCGTATGCCGTATGCGGCATAATGCTCAATTTCGAATTTTTCAACTACAGCAACGCACAATCGAGCACTTTAAAAAGTACTGCTTTGGTGGGCGCAACGGATACTAAAAAATATATATAAAGTGTTTTTTCGCGTTGTTCGTGTTTGTGCACCAAAGTGCGGCATTACAAGGTTTACACTTTACAGGGGAGATTTATTTGTACATTTTACTCTATCTACGCTTATCGATGTCGTTTGTCGGTTGACACTTGACAGTAGGGATGTTGATATTAGAAAAACATCGATGCTGACATCGATTAAAAGTAGCGATGTGCGATAAACATCGATAGAAAAACATGGATCTTTTCGGTAGCAATTAAAACTGTCAGTTCTATTTAATAAATGTGCTTATTATTATTGAAAATAAAAAATATTAATAACAGACAAAAAATATTAATCGGAATTACTGTTATTATTGTGATAGCGATAGTGTTGCTTCATATTTTAACTTTAAGTAATAGCAGTCTAAATTAATACTTCTTTTAAATTACATATAAAACAATAATATTGCTTATAGTATACATACATACATAACAATAGCAACACTAAATAATATTAGTAATTAATAAAGTTTTTAAAGAAATTGTCATATTTATAATAATAACAGCTAAAATTAAACAAATAAATTGCCATATTTAATTATAATGCTTATTAAAAAAAACTATGTTTATAATTAAAATCAACAAATATTTTAAGGTACTTTGGTGCAATTATTTTTATTTTTAAAATCATTTTTGTAAAATAGTAGGTAGGCATTGTATATAACAAGTTTATAACACCTTTGAGACATGTAAAACCTAAGTCTCTCCCGCGATCATGATTGCTCTAAAGCATTCGAAACGTCAACCAAAAATCAAAATAAATCCGCGAAATAATCCTAAAAAAACATATTATACTTTTATTTAAAATTGATAGTCATCTTAGATGATCCTAAAGATAATATTGACGTTTCGATATTGTATTCCCGTAGCATCAATGTTTTCCAGCTAACCATCGATGTTTATTCACTATCGATGAATATCGATATCCCTACTTGACTCTTTTAGCAGTTAATAATCTTGAGACTTGTCACTTGGTGTTCCTTTTATATATGTATTATGTAGCAATATACTCTATGGTGTTCCTGGTCTGTGGACTGTAGTTGAGTTTGACACGAATTTCAATTGTTTAATGTTTTATTTGTATTGTGTTTGTGTATTAGTTACACCTTTTATTAAATAAAAATCTAAGTCCAAGTCATATGACTCCTATTTGAATTATATAGGTACAACATTTTCAATTACAAATAAAAGAAATGCCTCTACTTGACGGTAAAGAAATCGAGATATTTTTCGTAAGTAAAATCATACTTTATAGCTTTTAGATAAAAAATGTATGTATTAGGTAAGTATTGATTTATAAAAAAGATATAAATATATTTCAATAGACATTAAATGACCAATTTCACATCTTTAAATAAAAAATCCAAACGTAGTTTTATAACCTCTTAAATCCGTACACTTTCCGTCTTATTGGTATACTAATTGATATAAATTATAAATCATTACTTTTATAAAATAAAACGTATAAGTATTTCATACAATTATGGGTATTTTAAAACTTTTGTGACATTCTCCTAACTTTAAAAGATTTTATTTCAAACTTTTACTATAAGAATTTAATAAGCAATGTAATAAATATTTATTGTATTTTTAATGCAAAGTCAAAATTATATTAACGTGTTACAGAATGAAGAAGATCTACCATATGAGGAGGAAATATTAAGAAATCCATTTTCAGTGAAACATTGGCTGAGGTATATAGAGCATAAGAAAGGAGCACCTAAGAATGAAATTAATATTATATATGAGAGAGCTCTTAAGGAATTGCCTGGATCATTCAAGCTTTGGTACAATTATCTAAAACTACGAAGATCTCAAATTAGAGGTCGCTGTATAACAGACCCTGCATATGAAGATGTTAACAACTGTTTTGAAAGGTCATTAGTTTTTATGCACAAAATGCCCAGAATTTGGATGGACTATTGCACATTTTTAACAGACCAATGTAAAATTACCACAACAAGAAAAGCATTAGACAGTGCTTTAAGAGCCTTACCTATAACTCAGCACCATAGAATTTGGCCGCTCTACCTGAATTTCTTAAAAAAACACAATATTCCTGAAACAGCTGTCAGAGTATTCAGAAGATATCTTAAGCTGTGTCCAGAGGATACAGAAGAATATATAGATTATTTAATATCAATAGAAAAACTAGATGAGGCAGCAATCAAATTAGCTCAACTGGTTAACAATGAAAATTTTCAGTCAAAACATGGTAAATCAAATCATCAGTTATGGAATGAGCTCTGTGAATTAATATCTAAAAACCCAGACAAAATTCATTCACTTAATGTAGATGCTATAATTAGAGGTGGGCTTAGGCGTTATACTGACCAGTTAGGACACTTGTGGAACTCATTAGCAGATTACTATGTAAGAAGTGGGTTATTTGAAAGAGCAAGAGATATTTATGAAGAAGCAATTCAAACTATCACCACTGTTAGAGATTTTACTCAAGTTTTCGATGCATATTCTCAATTTGAGGAACTCAGTTTAAGTAAAAAAATGGAAGAGGTTGCTAAAAAGGCAAATCCTACTGAGGATGATGATATTGATCTAGAGCTGAGGCTTGCCAGATTTGAATATTTAATGGAAAGAAGATTGCTACTTCTGAATTCTGTACTTTTACGGCAAAATCCACATAATGTATCTGAATGGCATAAAAGAGTGAAACTTTATGAAGGAAAACCACATGAAATTATTGATACATATACAGAAGCTGTACAGACTGTTGATCCAAAATTAGCTGTAGGGAAACTTTATACATTATGGGTTGGTTTTGCTAAATTTTATGAAAGCAATGATCAAATTGATGATGCTAGATTGATCTTTGAAAAAGCTACGCAAGTGAATTATGCCAAAGTGGATGACCTTGCTTCAGTTTGGTGTGAATGGGCTGAGATGGAAATAAAACATGAGAATTATGAAGAAGCCCTAAAGTTAATGCAAAGAGCAACCGTACTACCAAGTCGGAAAGTAGCCTATCATGATGATAAAGAAACTGTGCAAATGCGTTTGTACAAATCCCTAAAAGTTTGGTCTATGTATGCAGATTTAGAGGAAAGTTTTGGCACTTATAAATCTTGTAAAGCAGTTTATGATCATATTATCGATTTAAAAATAGCAACACCACAAATTATCATCAACTATGGACTTTTTTTGGAAGAGCATAACTACTTTGAGGAAGCTTTTAGAGCTTATGAAAAAGGAATAGCTCTCTTTAAGTGGCCTAATGTATATGATATTTGGAATACTTACCTAACTAAGTTTTTGAAAAGGTATGGGGGATCAAAATTGGAAAGAGCAAGGGATTTATTTGAACAATGTCTTGAACACTGCCCCCCAGAGTTTGCCAAATCAATATTTCTTTTATATGCAAAATTGGAAGAGGAGCATGGTTTAGCAAGGCATGCTATGTCTGTTTATGAACGAGCAACTACTGCTGTTCTTCCAGAACAAATGTTTGAAATGTTTAATATTTATATCAAAAAAGCAGCTGAAATATATGGTGTTCCAAAAACACGACAAATATATGAAAAAGCTATTGAAACACTACAGGATGAAAAATCTAGAGAAATGTGTGTTCGTTTTGCCGAAATGGAAACTCGATTGGGAGAAATAGATAGAGCGCGAGCTATTTATGCTCATTGTAGTCAAATGTGTGATCCTCGAATAACTGCTGAATTTTGGAATACTTGGAAAGAATTTGAAGTTAGGCATGGAAATGAGGACACAATGCGTGAAATGCTACGTATAAAACGAAGTGTGCAAGCTACTTACAACACTCAAGTAAATATGATGTCTGCTCAAATGTTAAGTTCGGCGGCGCAAGCTGCCGGTACTGTCTCAGACTTAGCTCCAGGCATGAAGGATGGAATGAGAATGTTGGAAGCAAAAGCCGCAGAAATGGCTGTACAAAATAAAGGCAACATTATGTTTGTTAGAGGAGAGACTCAGGGTCTTAAAGAAAGTACTGATAAAGTTGTAAATCCAGATGAAATTGATATAGATGAAGAAGAATCAGGAAATAGTGCAGATGAAGAAGTTGCCCCAGTACAGACAAAAGAAATTCCAGCTGCTGTTTTTGGTGGCCTACTCTCTGAAAAGGAATAAATATGAATTATATGATTAAGTAAAAAAAATCTTTCATTTAAATAATAAATCAACTTTAATTTACTAAGCTTAATAATAAGTTTTTATACACTAGCAAATTATTTACAAAAATCACAGAAATGTGTCTGATCAGAAATATGATGATAACTTTTTCAATCATAAGATGGTGTCAGTAAACAAAACATTTAATACATATTAAAATTAAGAAAATATTTCCTAATTGGCAGTTTTAGCTAAATTGAAATATTCTTGAATGTACAACAATAGTTATGTTTTTTTAAATGCATGTTGTATTAAACACATTTTTTTTCTATGACAACACAAAGCTACATTTTTGTATATTCATTTTATTCATGAATGACATGCATAGCCTAAGTGAGTATGGTTTTGTATAATAAGTGAATCAAGATTTATTATAATCCTTTAAAAAAATACAAATATGTGATTGGATCACATGTATGGTTAATTAAATATAAGTAACAAAGTATAAGCCTTACTGTAATCACAACACAACATGGAAATTCTTTAGAGTTTTTTTGAAAGCAAGTGGTGAGTAATTTAACAATTTATATTATGTCTCTAGGTGGTATAATAAAATGTAGTGAATTTGAATACATATCTTGTTGTTCGGAATAATTCAGTATACTTATATCATTATGAACACCACCAAACATTATCAACTCTCCGTTTCCTTTGACCAATGAGTACATGACCAATTCCTCTGGTGCCCCATGCATCTCACCAAGGCGAGGACATAACCAAGATACATAGTTCATAGAATTTCCATCCACCACAGTAGAGATATCTAAAACATGCATGGTTAATGTATTCCTTTTTATTTTCTTTACAGCTGGTGGTCTCTGTTGAGGATTGTCTGCTGGAGCTTCTAATCTATTTTCTAAATGAGCTATTTGTCTTTGATTTATAAGATCATTTTCAGGTGGTGCATTAGATCCAGGAGAATCACATGCGAAAGCAGCCATCCTATATTTATTAGCTTCTTGCAATTGTCTTACAATTTTCATTCCTTTATTCTGTAAGAAATAAGAATTAAACTGAAGATAAAAAAATTACCAATCATAAAAAAATTGAATAAAACTATTTTTCTTTGTAGTTTTTGATTTAAAAATAAAATTTCAATTATTGCCTAATAGTCCAATCGGCATCCGGTTTGGGAACAAAATATTGAAAACCTGAACTTTTATGATTTTAAAATGTTAGCAGGTATATAAGGAATAGAAATTCGTAAAATGCCCCACATGCCCAGCTAGCTAGTAAAAATCTACAACTTTTATAAATAACACTTTTTACAATGACCTCAAAGTTTTCGAGATATTCGCTAAAGATTCGGTGTTTAACTGTTTCTTGGTTTTTTATTTCTAGAATAATCTTTTGATTTCCATGAAACTAAGGGAATGTAATCTTCTCAATACATATAATAAATTTAAAAAAAAATGAAATTGAAATGTTTAGCCATTTCCGAGAAAAGATGTTTTATGGTCTCGATAGGCTGAAAATTACCTTCAGTTGGAGTCAAGGCAATTTTAGATATGGCTCATTCTTTTCGTCTTGAACTCTACTTTTTGAAAATATAAAAACATTGTGTTTTTATATTTTTACAAATATCTCGTTTTTTTTAGCAAATATCTCGAAAACTTTGAGGTTATTGTAAAAAGTGTTATTTATAAAAGTTGTAGATTTTTACTAGACCTACAACTTTTGTAGAAAACGTTTTTCGAATAGAACGTCACAGTAAGCCGGAAATTGAAAAAATCTATTTTTCAACGCTTTGAGTCCCCCCATTTCTCAGGGCAGCTGGGCATGTGGGGCATTTTACGAATTTCTATTCCCTATATACCTGCTAACATTTTAAAATCATAAAACTTCAGGTTTTCTATTTTTTTTCTCATAAAAATAAACGGATTCTGATTGGTCTATAATACCTAATATATCTAAGACAGTGAAACATACCTTATTTTTATTTCTTCTTAAGGCTGATTCTTTTTTAGACATATCCAGACTATTGTTGGCTTGATTGGCTTCTCCACTAGAAAGATTTTGATTAGAATTGACGTTTATAGATGCGAGATTTTGTGTATTCTCATTTTCATGACTAGGACCAGCCACCGGCTCATTATTTAAAATTCGTTGCCTAGGTAAAACACCACGTCGTCCATTAATATTATGATCTCTATCTAAAGGTCTTTGTAAACTTTGTTCCACTCTAACAGATACAGGAGCTGCTTCAGCTCTACTAAGATTGGACAATCTTACAGCAGATGTCACTAAAGGTTTGGCACTATTCCAGCCATTTCTACTTCTACTCAGACTTACTACTTTATCCCCAACTCTACAGGCAGGATTGCACCATATATTTGCAGCAGCCCATTCTTTATTTTTTACAGCTATTTCTTTCCATGTCCATGTAGGGCCTTTCATAGTAAGTATCCAGCAATCGCTATACACAAAACGATTTTGTAAAGTTTGTACACCCCCTAAAAGCATTAATCTCTCAGAATCTAATTGAATCAGAGACTGAGCATAGCGTGGAGAAGGTCTTGGCTTAGTAGTGGCTTGCTTTCTCCAGTTAAGAGTAGATATATTTAACACCCAAACATCATTGGAACATTGGATTTGATAATTTTGTGCAGCTGACATTATTAATCCACCAAATACCACCATTTCATCACCTTTAACACATGCAGAGTGACCAGCCATTGGTGGCGGAGGATTTGTAGCATTGATTAATATCCATTTGTTATTCTTAATACAGTAAAAATGTATGTCATTAAACATGGTGACATTTTGGTATAATTGTGAAAGAGATGGATAAGTCCATCCCCCAAAAACAATTAAGCAGTCTTTATAATCAACCATTGTTGTATAAGCTTTGGGAACGGGATATGTTCCAGTAGCTAAAGGCCTTATCCATTGTCTCTTTGATAAATCAAATTTCCATAGGTCATTAAAGGATGTTGCATTAGTAGTACATCCCCCAAATATATACATGTTATTTTCAAGAATGCAAGCTGCATGAGAAAATCTTTTTGTTATTGTAGGAACTATTTCTGTATGAGCAACATTCATCCATAGTATGTTGAATTCTCCTATAGCTTTTATAAGTTTTATTGATGTTTTATGTAACACATCTGCAATACCAAAAATAAAATTAATAATAGTAAATAGATAACATCTGATGCACTTGATTGATAAAATTTTCAATATCCTTCAAAACCTAACTTTAAGTATAGCTTTAGAGACTGTTATAATAAAACAAAAAAATTTCAAAATGGCACAAAGAAATTAGTTTCGAGTAACTTAATTCTTTAAATGTTTAAAAATCCTACTTACTTTGTGCACAACCACACCACCTCTTACAAACACTCATACAATTTTGTAAATCCTTATATGGTGGTAGAAATCCTAATATAAATTCTAATACTTCATCGGGGAGGTCTTCAATAGTTACTTGCAAAGTTTGCTGCAAGGTTTGATGTATGGTTTCCATAATTTGAAACTTGTATTAAATTATCCAATGAATTTTATGTCCATACTTTCATTAACTACAACAAATAAATACGAATTTATACAATAACAAAAAGGTAAGTTATTATACAAAATTACTGATATTCACACAATTTTGAAATATATATGTAGGTAATATTTTTAGTGAAAATATGATTACAGAGTTTTCAAAATATCTAACATCAATGACATGTTGACTGTCACTTTGACATTTCTGAGTTCTTTGTTGGCACTATGGAGGGTAGAACCAAGGAGAACTATCTCTCGTTTAAAAAGTGACCGCTGACAAGCATCAAATTACAGAAAACAAGTAGATGAATATAAAACGTAGCGCCAAAAGCCAAAAGAGTAAGATGGTGATTAAACGAGTAATATATGCAAACACCGATATAGTATACAATTACATAATATTTTTAAGTAATGATAATTCAGCGAACTTCAGCCCGTTTAAAAATGCTAGCTTCACATCACATCTACTTGCTATTCTAGCGCTATATCGATGAGTTTTAGAATTATAAGTTGCTGCTCACCACTGGACACTTTTTTGACTTGTATCCCATCTAAGTTGGTTCTCCTTAGTTATACCCATTTTATTTTATTTATTTGTATTATTTATTTTATTTTTATTTTACATTATTTATTTTATTTTATTTGTCATCCATGGTTATACCTTCCATAGTTGGCAAGAAACTACTAAGCCAGTAAAGAAAAAAAAATAAGAAACCTACTCATCTGTGTAAAGAAATATGAATTGCGATTGGGAAGTCTTAGGACTAACTTCTGACGAAAAGATCACTATTTACTCGGAATAAACTAATGAAAGTTGTTTATACGGCTAAATGAAACGAATGAAATATAATTTATAAATGTACAGAAAAGTACCAGATAAATATACAGAAAATGTAAAGAACACAATCGTCAGACTATCATTTAGTATAAATTGATGACGTTAAGAATAATTTTGTTTAATAATTAGTAAATTATTACAGCCATAGGAACTTGTGGTCGTGGATCAACAGTCCACGATCATCAATCACGATGTTTATCAACAATAAACATTCACAACCCAAATGATTTTGTCCATTCTAAGATGATCATAATAAATAAAAAAATACTATTGTTTTAAGATATTTATGAATATATTAATAGAAAAAACAAATCATACATAAATAAGTGGTTTAATATATATCTGAAAACAATATCTAAGAAAGTTGCGATGCAATGTGTAGTGTACAGGTACACGTACAGTATAAATTGATATTTACTAAATTTATTTTATTTATCCATGTCACTTGTCAACAGACATGACACACACTTGACACTTGACACTCTCATATGCCAAATGTCATATTTGTCCTTAAACCGGGAATATTTAAGTTTATAGAAAAATGTTATAGTGTGTTTTTTATCGAGGTGATATTTATTAAGGACTTTGTGAAAAATAATATTTATTATAATAATGCTTGTTATGTATTAAGTATACATTCAGCACTTTAATGTTATAAACATTTCAAATTGTATAGTGACACATAACCTTATTGCACCTATCTCACAGTAACAAAACAGTGAAAATAACAGTTAGTGAAGTGTTTGTGTAAATATTGTTAAAATGCAGCATCTATTGCAAGTTTCCCCTATTATGGATAAAATAAAGCACTTCCAGCAAGTATTGTCTTATAGAATACAACTGACAACTTCACAAAAGGTCCTATTTTTATTTCAAGGCTTTTGTCATATTTATATTAATGAGAATAAATTGTATTTGATCATAGAGATTTTTTTGTCGTACGATTTTATGTTATATATTATTTTATTTTTTACAATAAAATTATATTTGATTAATAAGTGATAACAATTACATTGTTCTACTAAAAATTAAAAATTCATATTGATATTATATATTTAATACACATCATAAAGTATCTCAGCATAGGTAAATTTAATTAGAGACATTATTTTTATTATTATTATTGAAGCATACTTATAGGAGTATTACAAAATAATTATAGTAAAATAACTACTCGCAGGTCATGTTGTGGAGCTTAGGAGTAGTTGGAACTAGTGCAGTAGTAGTTGGAATACTATCACGATATCTGGCCAGAAAGCGTGCAAAACCAATATTTAATCCAAGAATCCAAAGAGCTATTAACAAAAGGATTTCAAGAATGAGAAGTCCTAATGGAGGTATGTGTTGATGTTATAAGGGATTAGTTCAATTCACTGTGTGTTATGAATTATTTTCCAAACTTTCTAATAGGTATGGGATCTGTGGCAAGCAGTGGTGGTAGAAGTAGTCCTCTTGGATTCAGTGAAAGACTATCAATGGCATCTGGTTCAATTGGATCTGGTGGAGGTGATGCTGCTCCTCTTTCACCACAACAGTTAGGAGTAATGGGTAAGTTAAATTTTTATTATAGCGCCATCTTGTGTTGAGGGGGATGTGTGTCATTTATTTAAAAATATTTTTCGTTGATGGTGTATTTTAATTTTTGCAGCGCCATCTCTTGATAAATAGCTATACTACGTATTAAATAATTCCATTTTAGTTTTTAATGTAGTTCGAAGATGGCGTTCAATTAATTACAAAATAAAATATGTAAATACTGGTAACAAACATCATAAGCTACTGTTTTCAAAATACAATTTTTTCACGACTAGTGCCGAATTTAAATTACGACTCTTTTGGAGAACATAATAAATAGTCTGTTGGTTCGAAAACGGAATTAAACATTGAAATCATATGTTTTTATAGTAAATTGTAATAATCGTATCCTTCTTTAACGTTTACTTGACGTACTTGAAGTAGATACCTACATATATAATAAATATAAAAGTTGTATTTTCCAATAATATTATTTTAAAAATGTCACTACCAGGTTGTATACAGCACATTGTTTTACATATTATTTTTTACGAGGACATAAAATAGGATCGATTTAATAAGGGTATTGATTTTCTTCAGTACAACCTCAATTTCTAAGGCTACCATTAACATCGTTAAATGCAATTTAGTGGCCTTCAGACTAATCGAGCCTAGAGTTTGCATAATACATTATAAGTTATTTTGATTGAAAAATAACATATTTTAATTTTTGCCGTCGAATGATTGCATCATTGGTATGCAGGTTTATTATACATTGATATTTTATATCTATTGGCATTTTAATAAACATAATATAGAATTAATTGCATTATATGAATATCTTACATATTCTTATGATCTTTGAAGATTTTTAGAATTTCCTTTTTTATGATTAGAAAAATAAAACAAACCTATTCCTCGGGAACCGTAAATTTTTCCAGGATAAAAAGTAGCATATGTGCTGTTCCAGACTATAATCTATCTCTGTAACAAATTTCATCCAGATCCGTTCAGCCGTTCGGCCTGAAAAAGTAAAACAAGCATCCATACATTCTCACAAACTTTCATATTTATAATATTTACTAGCATTGCCCGCTTCTCCGCTCGCGTTCAGATGACCAAAAGCTAAATTCTTAGGTTTTACAGATTAGTATATTCTTACATTGCAGTTTCTGCATTTTTCTCAGAAATGAGATATTTTTCCGCGGTAAAAAGTATCCTATATGTTGACCCGGAGAATCAGCTATTATCATACCAATTTTTTTCAAAATACCTCCAGTGGTTTTTCTGTGATGCGGTAACAGACAGACAGACAGGCAGGCAGACGGACGGACGGACGGACGGACGGACGGACGGACAGACAGACAGACAAAAATTCTAATAGCTATAGATTCGGCCTCTGTATAGATAATAATGTTTATTTCAATAAGGTTTTCCAAAAAATATTTAATGTACAGATCCGACTCAGTTACAATTTTATTATATGTATACAACAAACACAAATACAAAAACTGCAATGTTAAGAGTATATTAATATCTAAAACCTAAGAATTTGGTTTTCGGTCATCTGAATGCGGGCAGAGCCACGGGCAATGCTAGTGTATAATAAACTAGAAATTATTAAACGTACACAAGGCCATCAACATGGCATTATTCATCAAGTGTAAGTGTGGCTCGTTGGTCTAGGGGTATGATTCTCGCTTTGGGTGCGAGAGGTCCCGGGTTCAAATCCCGGACGAGCCCAAATATTTCTTTTTTCCTTATTAATCAACTATTTGTAGCCATTTTATTTTGATTTAAATTAATAGCCAGCTACTTTTGCAAGTTCCAATTAACTATTGTACTTATTATTTTTTTTATAAAATTTTAAATAAGTAAGTACCTAAAATTATTGTTGAAATTATAATCAACAACAGAATTTGATAATGATTATGTATAAACAGTGCTGTTTCATGCATGCCAATCTATCGGTAAAGTTTTGTGTATCCTTGTTGTGTTCATTGTGTATACCTATAATATTACTTCACTCCATTTAACTTATTTTATAAATCATTTAAAGAACGAAGAGACGTAGGTAGATACTTACCGTATTTTCAGATTTATTACAAGAGAATTTCATTTGTGGCTTTAGAGAATAATGAATTGCAAACAAATAGAAATCAATAATCAGATCCCCTGAAATAGCTCGCTGAGACACGATTCAATTTAAGCTTCAAAGCACGTTCGACCTACTGACGATGATAGGACATCCTTGTACAAGATATTACTTATTAACTACTGAGCAATATCCTTATTATGATATAAATACGGCTATAAAATATAATCACATTATGCAGGTTATATTAATTCTTCGTGCATACTTTACTCTGCGTCATCTCCGTGCTTATCGAGTTGATATTGGAACTAGTAGAACTTCTTTATACCATACTTGCTTCGATATTGGAACTAGTAGAACTTCTTTATACCATACTTGCTTCCCGATACAAACTTTAATTTCAATTTTCACCCCTCTTAAGAAATGATTTCCGCGAAAAAGTATCCTTTGTCCTTCCCAGGGTCTCAAACTATCTTCTTACCAAATTTCATCTAAATCGGTTCAGTAGATCCAGAGATTACCCCCTACAACGTCACAAACTCATAAACACACAAACTCACAAACTTTACCTCTTTATAATATTAGTATACCTATAGATGTATTCTTTGATATCTATGACTTTACATAATTCATATGAATAACGCACCGATACATACTAATATTATGACCACCGTATAACACTGTTTTATTGAGAATTTGTAATGTGCAAATAAATAATAATCTAATCTTAGTAGATACAAATTGAAACTACATTCCGTTATTGTAAGTATTTTTTATCGATTTATATCTTTTAGCATCAATATTAAAAAAAAAACTAGATTTTAAAAGAGAAGTTTTTCATTTTATAATTTTTAATCTGGGCGAATAAAAGAACGCCTCGAATAACACGCAGTGCATATTCGTATTATTATTTATGTAGATGTGAAAAAGTAGAATTCTTAAATGAAACAGAACGCCGAGACGTCTGCAGAAGGATAATTTACCTTTTAAGTTCTTCGCACGTTTCGTCCCAGTAATAGGAGCAAGCTTGTGTCTACGAGATGAGAAAAGCTTTAGGAACTAAATAAGAAACCTTTTATGTCCGATATAGTGCAAGTTGTTCCTTCTGTAGCTTTACATCTATAATATATGAGTATGATTCACCATCTATACACGTATGAGTGTTGCATTTTATGTTCAAATTGTTAAATGATTTTAACTGCATACATTTTATAATTAAAATAAAAGTAACTTAGTCTATTTCTTATATTGAAAAACATTTATAATTTTCCCGCGTAATATACATTCTCTCAATAAATCAAACTTATTCACATAAATTACTATCTAATATTTTAAAAGCGTAGGGTATGTAGTTAATTCATTGCAAACACATCAAAGCATATTGACGAAATAAAAGTATTAAGTATTTAATTTTTTTTTATTTTAGGCATATATATGTTAATATTTAGTAGTTTCTTAGTATTTTATAGAAAGAAAAACAAATGTAAAAATAGAAAGAAAGAAGTGTACTTTATATATCATAAAATGCCTCATTATTACATTTTTTTATGTATATGTATTACAAAAAAAAGTTCCATAACTACTGACACTTAGTATTTATATACTTAGTTAATAGATAAGATAACATCTTATGTTTATTAAAACGTAAAATCTTAAATGCCTTAAAATATAGTCGTCGAGTCTTAGCTTTTTAAGCATTTACCAAGCTTTCTCTATTGCATGATAGATGGCGCTTTTTTAATTTATAGTATATTTAATATAAACCATTTTTAACGTACGATGATTTAAGTATTCAATACTTTTTTAGAGTATTATTAGATTTGGTTATGTATGTAAATATAAAATTGTAAATTCTGAATACATTTTACAAGAATTTGTTCTTTCACTTTTAATACAACATTTTCAAGATTTTATACAAGCGGCTCGTTGGTCTAGGGGTATGATTTTCGCTTAGGGTGCGAGAGGTCCCGGGTTCAAATCCCGGACGAGCCCAAACCTTTTTGTTATTTATATATTTTAAAATTTTTGTATAAGCAAGAAAGATAATAATAAAAATATGTATTTATATTACTAGCATAGCCCGCGGCTCCACTCGCGTTCAGATGACTTAAATTGCACTTTTTGTATTTTTTCTCAGAAATGAGAAATTTTCCCACGGTAAAAAGCATCTTATATGTTGACCCGGATAACCAGCTATCACCATGCTAAATTTCATCAAAATCCTTCCAGTGGTTTTTCTGTGATGCGATAACAGACAAGCAGACGGACAGGCAGGCACACAGAAAAAAATTCTAAAATCTATAGAATCAGCCTCTGTATTGATAATAATGTCTATTTCAATAAGATTTTCCAAAAAATATTTAATGTACAGATTCGGCTTAGTTACAATTTTATTATATGTATAGATTATTATAATTAATTTGTTAAATCATAACCAATATCCAACAGGTAACATAGATTTATTTAAATATTAAAAACCGATAACAAATTAATATTTAGGGTTGCACTACGAAGAAATACTTTGATTTAGGCTTTTATAAATAGATGAGGGAAACATGTTGGTAGCCCTTTCTCTGCGACCATTCCCCCGGCAGGCTGGGAATAATTAAAGAGCCTGCAGCCCTAGCTTTGCGCTAGCCCTAGCTCAAATGTCTCTACAAAGGGAACTGAATGCGCCGCGGGTGAAAAGGATTGCCCGCTATTTACCCAGCGCTTTCCTTGCACGAATTCACGGCACAGAAATTTTTTAAATCCTCCGTAAACTGACGCGGAAACTTCGAGGTGGTTCGTGATTAAAAATGCGCTCGCAAACATTTGTTTTGAATTGACTTTTATTTTATACGTTTGCATTTTCCTATTAAAAGTTTATAGACATTATTTATCGGTAATAAATTGCGCTTTATTATTTTCGTCAATATATTTTGTATACATAGATATATAAATTTTATTTAAATAACTATTAGTAGTTTTGAATGTAGTTAAGATTTTAGTAATTCAAAAGTAGAGATTACATGTTGCATTTTAAATTAATCTGTTTTGTCTGATCATATTTATC